CAAAAATAATCCTTGTAATTTTTTTGTTTTATCAGCTTTATATCTGATCTGAATATTAACTAAATTTGTTATTATTTTTAAAAAATTTATGAATTATCTAAAAAAGTTGGTAATGGTTATTTTTTTTCTATCTACTTTCTTTACTTATTAAGAATTTAGTTATACTTATGATAAGGTACCTAACTCTCTTACGTTTTTTCCCAGTCTTCATTATTGTAGCTTGTTATTTTATAATTTTATTTTTTTAAGTTGCATATTTTTAATTATCACGTGTTAAAAAAATGGTATATGATTGGTTAAACAAATAAGACCCCATAATCAGGATTTCGAACCGTTTAGTATAACGGTTCGGTTCGTTCCGGTTTTTAGTTTAAAATTTTATAAAGGTTTTGTTCCATTTCGGTTTTTTAAAAAAAAATCATATCGGTTCGGTTTATAATTTATAACGGTTCTTTTCGGTTTGTTCCGGTTTTTATAAATTTAATTTAAAAAAAAATTAATCATTAACCATGTATATATTAGTTTTAGAGAAAAATCTTTTTAGTTTATAATTTCTTATTTAATTTATCCATGATAATCTAATAGATATTTTTATTAAATTTAGGAAATATAAATTAGACAAATTAGTTTTTTTTTATTTTATAAATAAATAAGATAAAAACAAACATGCGTAAATACAATAATGAATAAAATAATATGTATACTATACTATTTAGGTTTAAAAAGAGAATTCGAACTGATAACTAAAATATTTCTAATATTTCAGGATTTAATTAAGTTCTCTGGGCAGAGAGTATAAACTTAAGGCTTGAAAATGCTCTTTCTACGGAGACCTGCGTAGCTGAAACTGCTAGCACAGTATAGCTAACTTATAAAGTTCTGGCATATATTTTTTACATTTTCCCAATAATTCAAAAGATTAGTATCTTTTTCTAATCTTTCTATATTATCAAATGACCGAATTATATATTCTATTTCTATACATTTATTATAATTTTCGATGCCCTGAGAATTATTCTTATTAAGACTTTCATGCGACTTTAATAAATCTTCAAAATCATGATCTAAATTATCCTTCGAATACGAACACGTAGGCATAGTATTTAGAATTTCAATATTCTGATTATTTAGATTTTGTATCAAGTTCCAAGTTTTACAAAGATGTTTTCTGGCGATCTCTCTTTCTTCAAAAGTTAAAAATACATTATATCTAGGGTCGAGATAAATAGCAGAGCAAAAAACTTCATTTTTGAAATTTATTTCTCGTGCTTTCATCGTAGAAACTAAAAGTCTGGCAAATGGAGTGTCTACTTTACTCGTTTGCATGAGACATTTGATCCACGCAGCATAAAAATCGCCCATTGTCAATTGTTCACTTTGTAAATATTTTGTCAAAACATAAGCTGGATATAAAGCTTACTAATTATTTTCCATTCATTCTCTGATAAACATTTTTCGCGATCGCTTTGGAGCGATATTTCTTGGCAAAAGCTTTTTAACTCTAGTAATCTCTCCAACATTAAATAGATAGAGTTCCATCTTGTGCAACAATCTATTAGTGGTTTTTTCAAATTTAATTTTGAGAGAATAGCCATTGTTGTCTGATTTCTTATTTTTTTGCAGATGTTTCTTGCTTTATTTATAATGACAATTTCATTTGAATTTTTAATGCAATCATTAATTGCTAATTGAAATGTATGTGAAGCACATCTAATACCTATTAATATGGATCTGGCATTTGGTGCAAGATTAATATTTTCAATATTAAAAAGTTCTCTATTTTCATCATGAATTATATCATTATTATTTAAATCGTCATTATCTATATCATTATTATTTAAATCATCATTAATTAAATAATCGTTAAGGTCATCATCTTCATCATCTTCTTCATCGTGTAGTATTAATAGCTTAATTAACCTAATCATATTTGCTGCGTTATCGGTGGTTATTGTGTAAATCTGCTCAATTTTTATTTCATATTCTTTTAGAACATCTAGAATAATTTTTTTAAGATATTCTGATGTGTGTCGTTCTTTAATCACTTTCATGCATAGAGTCCTTAATTTTATTTTTCCGTTATTTATAAATTGAATATTGATCCCCAATATGGACCTATCATATCTAGTTGCTATATCTAATTTTAACGAATTAAGTTTTTGATATACTTCAGGAAAATTAAAATTTCAAATTTAGGTTAATAATTTAAAATTAATTATTTTCGGTTCAAAATATTTATAACGGTTCGGTTCGCTCTTTTAATATTTTCTTCATAACGGTTCGGTTAAGGTTACGGTTCAGAAAATCATAACGGTTCATTCCTGTTTTGCGGTTCGGTTCGGTTCGAACCCCTGCCCATAATATAAAACATTCGAGATATAACTTTATTTTATTACATAAAAAAATTTTAAATTAGTTTTGATGGGTTTTTTGAACGTAAAAATGTAGAAGAGACTTCTAAGAATAATATTTCGGCCCTAACTCAATTTTAATCAATATCATATTAATTGAGTGTTAAATGTTAGGTTTCGATTTGTTCCTGAGATATATTACTGAGATATATTAAATTTATTATAGAAAAGGCACCTGTGGTATATGGGGTAGGCAAGGACTTGTGGAATATTTTAGTATATTTTAATATTGAAAATTTAATAATTATTTATCTAATAAATTTCAACATATTTATATATGTTATTAAATTAATTGTTTAATAGGTTAATAAGCATAAATTGATCGAATATGAAATATAATAGATAAGTTAAATGTATAAATGAATTAAATTGTAATTCATGCTATACAATACCATATAAATAAAATAATTTTATATGAAAATTCCATATATCTAACAGCACCTAATCGAGCTTATTTTTTTTTGACTTTACCTTTGAATCTTTTTAATTATAATTTATTTACTATAATATATAAAAATGATTATAATATAGGGATCAGCATTTTATTAAAATTGCCGAGAAGTAATTTTCAATTATCACATATCCGTTGCAATCAAATTTATATATATAAACCACTTATCGGTAAATTGTGAACTTTTTCAGAATTTGACAAATTTCAAATAGAATGGCTCCTTTTTTTATTTTATATTATTGTTTTTTGAAGATAAATTTATGACTTTAACTTGTATTGTATAATTCATAACTTTAATCTATATAATATTAGTATATCTCTAAAACAGATAGAAGTAATCGATTTAGAATGACAAAAACTTTTATTTATTTTAAAGCCGGAGAGACATATTATTGTAGTATATTGAGAAATTTATCGAACTCTAATCATTTGGCTATTGTAATAAATGAATATTAATGGAATATTTAATATCTAGATTAGAGTCATGCAAGCCAGAACCTTGCTCAGGCCTACATATTTTTGCAATTAGAAAAAAACGAAATTTGCAGGGCACCTTCCCATATGAAAGATCAAACATTTTTTTAAAACAATACTAATTTATTTCTATTTCTTATGCCTCCTTGATTCGGCGGTTTCGAGGGAACAGGCCAGTTTTATATTCTGTTAAATGGCACCATATTTTAATAAAACAATCAGGCTAAGCGATTCGAAAATATTACGGCTTGAATTATTATTTTTATTTAGTAAAGTCCTATCTTAAAAAAATTAGATAAGTTATAAAAATTTTACTATTTAGTTTTCAATGAACACGGGAAAGTTATAAACACGTGTGGAAAATATGAATTTTGATTTTTTTTTCCTCCTAAAAAGATTTATAATGCATTTGGAAAACAAAATCATTTAAATTTTTGACAATTTGGGTCCAATACATCATAACGGATTTCATTTGATTCTATACCCAATTATATATTCAATTTATCATTTAATTTAGCTTTCTTTTTTCTTCCCCTAATAACAATGTTCTTTGTAGCGCGTTAAAAGTAGCTTTACGCTACCTTCAATACTTTTAGATAATATATATTAATACATATAATTAATATTGAAAATTTATTTTATATTTTGAAATTTCAATTATAATATATACAATCCACCATCTGATTGAATATATGGCTGAAAATAAATAGATAAACAAATAATAGTAAATCCGATATGTTATCTTTTTTTTAAAATTTGATTTGGCCCATATTTTAAAAAACTTGATCCGATATTATCATTGTTTTGGGTATTTTATGATTGTATATATTATATAATATTTTTTTACACATTTCCCTAATTAATGATAATAAATGTAAAATAGAAACTAAAATTCAAATTGTAATATTTAAAAGAGATCGAGTTATAATTATTTTTTAAATTGCTTTATTTTGTTTTTTAACAAGAAGTCATAATGATCATTGCTCATATTTTAAATAAGAGGATTAACTTAGGGGTGGGGGGGGGCATTAAAAAAACAAAATACACTTCTTGATAATGCATCAAATATCGCCTGACCACGAGAAATGGAAAATTTCAAATTGTTTCTTGTTTCATAGTTTGTAGTTAGTTATTTTTTTTCACCAGAAAATCAAAATATTGAGTTTATAATATTGATTCAAAGATAGACGATAAATAAAAATTCTTATAAATATCGGTGTCGGTTATCGAAGAATATCGGATCGGTGAAAAATTTACGGATCAACACACTCCAAATAAAGATGTATACTATATTGTACCTCAGAAAAAGATGATCTTACAATTGATAATTTGTTAAGGGCATTTTTTTTTCCTTATCCAAAATTTTATTATTATTTACTGAACGTATTAAATATATTTACACATTTTTTTTTCAAAATATTTATACTACTTTCATGCAGTTCGAGCTGTGATGAAATATTAGCTCCATAGAGTACTTTCTGAATATTACCATTTATAATTTACAATAAAACCTCTCATTTATAAAGGATAAGTACCTTGTATATTCATATAGTATGAAGAATATTACGACTTAATATTTTTAAAAACCATGATGATAAATGTCTGTCGTTAATAATTCCATAAATAATAACGTTTAAATACAAAATTTTATTAATTTTTTGTAGTCATCGTAATGTCCTACGCCAAAAATGGGGAAATACTTAACTACATAAATCTCAAACACTGTTTTGATCTCGAGATATCCCGTTTTTACGCCGCTGAACTCACTTGCGCACTTGAACACCTCCACAAGATGGGCATCGTTCATAGGTAAATTAGAAAATTCTTCATTTATTTATTTATTTTTTGGTTATATTGAATTAATTTTATATCTTACCTAAGCCGGCCTAAATAATTTAAATGACTCAATGTAATAAGAATTTATATTGATTATGAATAGACTGGATGGGATACTTTTGTAACAAAAAGGATGAAAATTTATATATTTATAGATTGATGAATATAAATGAAGAAATAAGTTTTATCCAATTTCATCATAAGCTTGAAATAAGGCTTACTACTCATACATATTTTTTAAACTTTATTTTAATAAAAAAATTATATTAGGGACATCAAACCAGAAAATATTTTGCTCGATGAGAATTTCCACATCAAAATCACTGATTTTGGATCGGCCACCTTTTCTCCCTTCGAATCTTCCCCAACCGATCAAGATACTGAAGATAATAAAAGGTATGAAGTTTTTCAAATATTATTTTTATTTCGTTTTATTATTAAACGCCCAAATGTTGCGATCTCCTTATCTCGGCCCTTTTAGGCCGGCCTCTTCCTTGTAAATTCCTAATAAAAGTGTTTAATTAGTGTTATATATTTTTCCAAAAAAAGGTAACGGCGTTACTCTTCAGGGAAATTAGCTTATTAAAGTAACCCCTATGCTTTATATTTTTGATTATTGTAATTTTAATCATTTTTATTTTATATTGTTTAGTGTTAAGGTCTAATATTTATATAAAAAAACAACATAAAATCGAGTATTTAAAACAAATTATTCGACTATTTTATTTCATTCTTCTTTCAGCTATTTTTTTATTGATCTATTGGATTTATATTAGTAGAAACAGAGAGTCAGTAACATATTTAAGGAGCTCGTTATGCCAAAATTTATAGGATTTAAATTTCTTTTTTTTATTAATTTTAGATTTGGACTTCCCTTTTTTTGCTAATTTTGGATTTCCATTTTTATTTAATTTTAGCTTTCCTTTTTTGGGTAATTTTTTATTGAACGGGTTCCAAAATTAAATTCTGGATACGTCACTGGCAGTGGCCCCTACAATGGGGGGGGGCGTCCGAAGCAACTACTTCTAAAAATTTGAGTGGGGGTAATTTTTAAAAAAAATCTAATTCTTTTATTGTTTTGCTACATTTATCTATAACCAATTGATTTCTGGTTTATGTTATTATTTAATTTAATATGTGTTGACGGAAATTTTGGTCGATGTTTAATAAATTAAGTTGTTATCCGAGATTTCTTGTCATAAATTATTTTTCCAATTTCAAAATATGCCCAAAAATATTAACCAAAAAAAAATACAAATGCTTAATTAAAAATTGCACATCGCATAATATAAGAGATGATAAATGGACAGACCACATTAGAAAAAGACATGGTGGGCTTAATTTTAATGATATAAAGAAAAGCTTTGAAATAGTAGCTTTTAAGAATATTACTCAAAATTGGACAAATAGCAAAGTAATTTTTTTATCAAATATTTAATTGTTTATACTTATCTTATAAAGGGTAATAAATCGCAATTTAAGAAAAAAGAAGTAAAAAGTGGGAATTAAATACTGTTCATATAATAAATATTTTTATTAATATAATTATTTTTTAAAAGTATACTAATAATAACGAAAATATGTTAGAAGAAAATATAGTATCTGACTCTGATAATGTTCATGAAATTTAATCGTGATATTATTGTACATGAATCTTCACAGGCACATATGATGGCCGATTATGGAAGGCTTTCATATAATAAAAATTTCATATTACAATTTATAATAACCCATAAAGAATGTGTGGATAATAACCGTTCTATCATAAGAATAATTATAAGATGTCTGTTATTTAATATCTAGTAACCAAGCCTTCTATGGGGGCCTTATTAAACTCATTGCAGATTCTGAACCTGTACTCATAATGTATATACAACAAAATGAAGAAGGGAGAAAAAAATAAGGGATTAAAAACGAAATTATATTCAAATCTATTATCATATAATAACATAAATATTCTTATTGAAACCATGAAAAATATGGTTATCAAAAAAATTCAAAATGAGATTGAATTTAACAGGTGCTTTTCAATCATAGTTGATGGCACATATGATATTTAGAAATCAGAAGCAATAGCTTTGATAGTAAGATATGTTGAAAATAGTGAGACCCCTAAACCCATTGAAAGACTGATAGACATATATTGTACGGGAAATACAACTGGTCTCGATATTAAAAAGAATATAATATCCAAACTTGACTTCAAGAATTTACCTCTTTTATTCCTATTTGGGCAAAGCTATGATGGCGTCTCAAACATGAGTGGAAGAATCAATGTAGTGCAGGCTTTGATTGAGCGGAGTCGCCAAAGGCAACTTTTATTTGGTGCTATTGTCATCGATTAAATTATTCATTGTTCAATAATGTCAATCTATGAAAGAACTGTGAAATGTTATAGGAATATTAGACGAATTTATATATATTTTAATGGTGCTAAAATGAGGATCTGATAAGAGTAATGCACTGACAAAATCGCAACGATTTCTACGCATCAAGAATACCCCTCGGTAATATTATCTTATTTGTTTAGATAGAAGCTGGCTATCGTCATATAAAGCTATTGTAAATTTTTTCTACTTTATGATGCCTTGAGGGCAGCTTTAACAAATTTAAAGGATTCTGAAGATCCTGCCACTTCCAATATGGCGTGCTATAGTCTTTAGAATAGAAAAATTTTATTTAATTTTATCACTTTGTGTTTTGGATAAAATATTGTTGATAACAAGTTTGGCTTGTACAAAATTTCAAACTATTTCGAAGGATATAGGGTTTGCAATAAATCAAATTCACTTGGCAAAGATTGCCTGATTAATTTGAGAAGTATAATTTAAATTATTGTCTTTAATTATTTTTTAATCTTAATAGATAATAACACTGAATTTTTGGTTGTTTTTTCAAAGGCACAAGATTTTATGAAGGAGAGAAATCTAATTTCATCAAAGGAAAAAAAATTATTTAAGCAATTAAATATTGATGAAATTATAAATTCTTTCGCTTTCTCTTCCCCCAATTTATCTAAATTATTAATTTAAAAATAATATTTTTTTACTTTTTATTTACATTATATATTAAAGATTGATGCAATAAAAATTATTTTTAAAATTTATGGGTCAAAAAATAATTAACCATTTTCGAGGGAAGACTACTTTTCAGGGGGGGGGGTATTCTGCTTCCATCCCTCTTAAAGTGTAGGGGACACTGGTCACTGGAGTATTCAAAAGTGAGGATATTATTTGAATTATTTTTATCATTACCTTAAGGCCAAGATAAAAGAAACAGTGGTTTGCTTTCTTTTTTGGGGAAAAATATCTATTAAGGAAATTAATGCCAAAACTTATTCTTAAAATTTTTTATGATATGTCTGATGACTCAGATGATGAACTGTCATTTTCTAGAGAAAATATATATCTTTGGAAAAGAAAACCTCAACAATTTCTAAACCTATTTATAAAATGTATTAGCAACCTACTACCTTCAGCACATGCAGCAAAAGCGTGCTGATAAAAGATCCTAAAAACTTTGAAAACAATCACCATTTAAATCTTTAAAAGAGTAAATTACCGGTATATTCATATTTAAAACTAAACATGCTGAACGGCATTTCTTTTATCAACGTGAACATATTCTTTCCTTTTTTTTTGACAAACGCGTTTATTTCTCACGTTTATTCAATTAAAAAGTTTAAATATTGGTCATATTTCATTATATTTAAGTTTATAAATTATTTTATAGATAAATATATTTGATAGTTCGGATTCCGATAATATATCCTTACCATGGCCTAATTACAATAATAGATCGAACCAATACTTACCATATTTTCCATTTTAGATAGTGAAAATAACATAAATTTGGATTATTTGACGCCAATCAATAACAATAATATTTCAAATTATAAAATTATATGCTTAACTTATTGCCATCTACTAGTAGATTTTATATAATAAATTATACTTATTTTTTAATCAGTTGGGGACCTGTACGTTTCGGTTCTGAATATTTTAAAAATAACTATTTCTGCTTCCACGCCATTCTAGGGTCTGGTTCCTGTTCTAAACTGTGACAAAAAATTTCTAAATTTTATTTTATTGCTTCATATTTTTTACACATATTTATTCTATTACAAATAAAAATATTTAATTCAATGGCTTGATATTATTCATATTCTTATTCAGCAGCGCCACTAACGGTGGGGGAGGGGGGTGTTACCTGATTTTTTTTTATTTAAATACCTATTATTCACAAAAAGGTTATTTTGAAGTTATAACCCCCCCCCCCCCCCAAAAAAAAATACCATTTTAAAATAATTAGCTAAAAAAAAATCAGGATATTGTAGAATATTAGTGTAATGTATTTTAATTATTTTAAATATTGAATGAATTTAAATAATGTTTTTTAAAATATGAATGAAAACGAACGCGTTCACGAATTTGAACTACTTTTTACAAATAAATTCGTTTTTTTAAAATGTATATTACACTAATTTATAGTATAGTATGTTTAAATCTGTCCAATTACTTATTTATTTGAATTTTGGGATTTGTATTGTATAATAAATATATATCGATTGATAAAAAAAAGGAAAATAATATATTTAAAATTTTTTTTACCTAAAAGGTTTTAACGGCGTTACTTTTTTTAAAAAAAGTTGTGTCAAAGTAATGATTTTAATATTTGTGCAGAATAACGCTAAATATAACGCCTTTACATTTTTTTAGTAACTTGGCAGCTCTATTATTAAGACTATCTCTCTACTGACCAAAATATAACCTCTTTTGAATTTTCACCTTATGGATGTTTAATTATATATTCATTTCTTATTCGGTAGATTCTATAATTTAAAACCAAAAACATCCGAATGATATTCATCATTCAATTTCATTTGGTTTATTATAAATTACGATTGCAATGAGGCAAAATAATATATAAAAAAATAGACACAATAAAGCACTAAATAAAATATATGCCAAACGTTTAGACGGTTTTAATATTAACTTAAGGGTTTGTTTTGCTATCTAAATATAAATACAATCAAAACTATCATAAATTATACTCAAGGGAGTTTTGAAATATTTTTATTATATTTTAGTGATCCCAGCTCCGATAACTCTTCAAGTACCAATGACGACAGAGCTCAAGAAAAATCGGATGATGACACAAAATCCAATAAAATTGCAACGAACGGGGTTAGTAGAACCGTAGCTAAGCAAAATAATCGGCACAGTTCGTTTGTGGGCACGGCTCAATACGTTAGCCCGGAGATTTTAACCAGCAAACCAGTCACCTATGTGTAAGAATTTATCTCTTGCCACTCATTTCTAATTAATTTTTGTGAGGTTGTTATATAAAAGAAATATTTACATATTATGAATATGAAACTAATTTTTCGAGATTACTGGATTTTGTATCGGTATCAATTGATAACGGATTTTAAATTTAAGTTCCAATCTATATGAAAGTAACCTAATCTTAAAACAGTTATATTAGCTAAAAAAAATTATATATTGCACTTTAATATTGATTTTGTTTAAAATTTTATATGAAATTAATAAATCAATAACTTTTTAACTCTGTGATTGATTTTTTTAAAATTCACTATTTTATAGGGCTTGGACCAAAATCAATTTTTTTTTAAATATTCAAATGTGTACTACCCCATCTTATTGATATGCGGCCATCCTTGATTTTTAGCTTACATCCATTTTCAAATCAAAAATAATAATTATTAATATCTTAATTAATATAAATATATATTTATATAAACATTTAATTAGAATTTAATTCTTATAGATTTTAAGGAAAATATATGTTTTAAAAATTGTCACCTTATACATAGGTATTCGCCCACTATGTTAGATCACCAAGATGTTCGCCTATGTGCTAAAATTTTTAAAATTATAATTTAATCATTTTATTTTTTTTAAATGGATAGAAATAGATAACTAAATTCATAAGATTATTATTTACTAATCTAAGAGGATAAATTTTGGTAGATTAGCAAAATCTACGAGTAGAAATAGATTTCGTAAATAAAAAATTACCGGGATTTTCTATTAAAAATAGAGGACGTCTAAAGATAACCAATTCAAAAGTTAGGATTTTAGAAAAATTGTTCTTATAAATTGGCAGGCTCTTCTTCGAAAATATGATTTAATTAGATTTATGCAATTTGGAGGCAAGTTTCCCTATCAATTACGCATATTACATTCAATACGATATTCCTTTTATAAAAAATTTATTTGAAATTCTGTTTACATCATACTATTTTATATAGTTTAAAAAGAAACCATTTTTAACATTACAGAAGAAGAAAAGATTAAATTCGGCTGGTCATTCCATGCCAACCCCTTTCGATTTTTATAGAAATTCATATGCAGACTAAATTTCGTGTAATCTATATTTGGGCAACATTTTAGTCTCTTAGCTTTTATACTTAGATATAGAAGATCAAAGTATGAGAAATTACCTTTTTAACGAATGTCTGTAATCATTAAAGTAATGATTGATATAAGAAATTTATTGTTAAAATAAAGATTATACTTTTATTTTTAGAAAATAATATTAAAAAATTTTTTTTAAATTTTTCCCGGAATGAAACTTTAAATCCTCATAGAGAAAAATGGTTATCTCCGATTTTTTTGAAATTTTTGATAAACCTTACTATTCCCATGATATATGAGTAAATAATTGGAGTGGAGCTTTTACGACTTCATAGGCAAAATCGATAAAAACTAGTTAAAAATGAAAAATACTTTTTATAATATAGATGGCGTTTTATTTTAATTGGCCCAATATTCTTATAGTGCGCACAAATTGTACGTTTCAACCCAGCGTTTCAAAACGCAAAAATAACGTTAACGCAACTATGTTTAAATTGAACCGTTAATTTTTATTTATTTAATATGAAACGTCTAAATTTAAAACAAAAAAAATGCTGTCCAAATAAAACGAATGCATTTAAAAAGCATTATTTGCCTTTTGAAACGCTGTTTTGAAACGTTCAAATTGTGCGCATTTAATATATAATTATCTCTATATAATAACTAATCTACTACGTCCAAAGTTTTCATTTTTGTTGTTGAATATTATACAATGTTAATTTACAGGGTTTCCCATCCAAAAAAGGAAAAGTCCCAATCGAAAAGGTTCAATCAAAAAAGGAAAAGGGTCAAACAAAAAGGAAAAAGTTCAATCAAAAAAGGAAAAGGTCCGATCAAAGAAGGAAAATTGTCAATCAAAAAAGGAAAAGTCCCTAAGGTTAAGGAAAAAGTCCAATCAAAAAAGGAAAAGTGTCAAACAAAAAAGGAAAAGGTTCAATCAAAAAAGGAAAAGTGTCAACAAAAAAAAGGAAAAGGTCCAATCAAAAAAGGAAAAGTGTCAATCGAAAAAGGAAAATTCCCAAAAGAAAAGGAAAAGGGTCAATCAAAAAAGGAAAATTCCCATTCAAAAAAGGAAAATCGTAATTTTTTTTAAAAAATATATTAATTTTCAATTTTTCCTAAATTTATTTATTTTTGTCATTCCTTCTTATTTTATTTCTAACTTTTTGCGATTTCTTTATTTTATTTGTATCTTTTCTCACTATATCTTTTCTCAATTTTTTTTCTTCTCATTTTTGATAATTCTTTTAAGTATATTTAATTTTCACTAAATTTTTGGCAGACAACTTTTTTATTATAATTTTTTACATATGAAATTATTTAATTACAATTACGATATATATTTAATATAGTACGAAACAAAAATTTATATTAATCATTAATAATTTCTCCCCTTCTACATTTTAGGATATATGTCTCCATATTTCTAAAATAATTTTTTGCAATTTCTTCAGATATTCCTCTTTCTCCATGTTCTATATAACGAATTAATTCTTACCCGTTACTAGGATTTTTATTTCTGACAAAATCCTTCCATTGAAAAAACACATTCTCAATAGGATTAAGATACGGACTGTAGGGTGGTAAATATTTCAATGTATGTCCTTTTCTTTCGATCGATTCCCTAATTGAATGATTGTGATGAAATGGAACATTATCCAACACAAAAATCATATTAATCATGTTAGATTCTTCAAAATGATTTAATATTTCATTTATAAAGTTGCTAAAATATATAGCATTGCAAGGGCCATCAAAAACTTCGAATCGAAATATTCCTGCAATTGTGAGAGCCGCAATGATAGTGTAATTTATTGTCTTTATTCCTTGAACATTTTTAATTGCCTTTTTATTTATTTGGGAATATCCATATAATCGCCTCATTGATATTGAAAACCCGCTCTCATCGATAAATATAAATTTTTCCTTCATATATGCTACATCTACAAACCATTCGCTTATTCTTTGCGAATCTCTATATTTGATTCGTTATTTTCTCTAACTGAACGTAATGATACTCTTTTAAAGCTGTACCTAAATTCTGAGAGTAACCTTGATACCGTATTTTTTGATATTTCCACATCATATCTTTCTTTAATGATTTCACATAACCTTTTAAAGGATAAAGTGCAATCCAAATTTATACAATTTAATATATATTCTTCCTGTTCTTGATTTAATTTCTTGCGTGCGCGTGAACCTCCTTTGGGTAAGCTATATTTTATTCCATTTTTGAGATGAAAGTATTTAATATTTGTCACTGTCTTATAGCTTACTTTAAAACATGATGCTATATTTTTGATACTATCTTTTTTTAACGCGTCAATTATTAGAGCTTTTGTTTCACTGTTAATATTTTTCCCCCTTTTTACCATATCTTCATAATTTTATTTTTTAAAACAAAAAAATTTATTTTTAAAGTATATACTCAACAAATGGAAGTGAAAAAGATTATAAAGTTTACCTCATTTGCGTTTAATTTTTCATAAATCAAAATAGTTTAAATTATTACAAAATAATTATTTACTTGCTAAAAAGAATAAATGCGTTTTGAATATATTAAAATTTTAAAAATATAAGAATTTTAAAATGATTATATTTTATTAATTTACATATCGTTTGGTATTACAGTTCGAACTTATTTATTATAACCAAACGATTAATTTAATATTGTAATTATAAATATGTATGTAAAAAATAGTCTGCCAAAAAAAATAATATAATTTTAAAAAAGAATTATCAAAAATGAGAAGAAAAGAAATAGAGAAAAGATATAGTAAGAAAAATAAATTGAGAAAAGATACAAATAAAGTAAAGAAATAGCAAAAAGTTAGGAATGAAGGAATGACAAAAAATAAATAAAATTTAAAAAAAATTGAAAAATTATAAAAAAATTAAGATTTTGCTTTTTGAATGGGAATTTTCCTTTTAAGATTGAAACTTTCCCTTTTTTGATTGGACCTTTTCCTTTTTTGAATGGGAAATCCTGTATGTTGAGGGTATGACAGTCATACCCATCAAGACAAAAAATGAATAATTTAAATCTAAGGATATTTAAATTAGATTTTATTTGATACCCATATCGATATTTTGTGGTGATAAAAATATTCATGACCCCCCCCCCAAGACCTAGACCCGCCCTCTATGCGTGATTATTATTACAATAAAAAATATTTTTATTAGCTTTTATTTGATACCCATATCAAAAAATTTATTTTTTACCCCCCTCCTCTATACACCCCCCCCCCCCCAACCACCCTCAGACCAAGTCATACCCATCCAGACCAAGAATGAAGAACTACAGTTAGACCATATTAAAATTAGCTTTTATTTGATACTCATATCAAAAAACCCTCCCCCCCCCACCCTCAGACCAAGAATGAAGACTTTCCGTTAAACCACAAAAATGATAAGAAAAAAAATTGAGAAAAGATACAAATAAAATAAAGAAATCGCAAAAAGTTAGAAATAAAATAAGAAGGAATGACAAAAATAAATAAATTTAAGAAAAATTGAAAAGTTTATATATTTTTTTAAAAAAATTACGATTTTCCTTTTTTGAATGGGAATTTTCCTTTTTTGATTGACCCTTTTCCTTTTCTTTTGGGAATTTTCCTTTTTCGATTGACACTTTTCCTTTTTTGATTGGACCTTTTCCTTTTTTGTTTGACACTTTTCCTTTTTTGATTGGACTTTTTCCTTAACCGTTTGGGACTTTTCCTTTTTTGATTGACAATTTTCCTTTTTTGATCGGACCTTTTCCTTTTTTGATTGAACTTTTCCTTTTTTGATTGAACTTTTTCCTTTTTTGTTTGACACTTTTCCTTTTTTGATTGGGACTTTTCCTTTTTTGGATGGGAAACCCTGTATTTTATTTTTACTCCATTAAAGAAAATTGCGGGCACTAAGTCTACTCTTTGTTAGTGTAGATTATGCCCTAGTTCAAAAGTTTCAACATCTCAAATCTAAAGAGACTAGGGCTGTGCCAATCCACACATTTTTCACCGATCTGATATTTATATTGATTTTTCACCACCCGTTGAACTAAATGTTATTAAGAAATCAATATTTTTATGCAAAAAATCGAATTATGCATTTATTTAATTTTTTTATTTCTACAATAATTAAAAAAGGTTTCGGATATTGGTAGTATTAAATGAATTTGTCATTATTCCTCCCCGTGTAATTAGAATTCCGCAAATAACCCATTTTGCAAAATTATCTTTGTCTTTTGTAAAATATTTATATAATTCAGATACCATATTTAAAAAAATTCTTTTAAGTATAAATAATAAAACTGGCGTTATTACTTAAAAAGATTTAAAATAAATAAAACTGTGGGTGTTCCTTTCTATTTTTATAAAAAAAAATTAAAATACTATAAATCTATCTAAAAAATAATAAAATTAAAGGAGTGTTGTACATTTGCATTGTTTAAATAAAAAATTATTTAGAAAATATTATTAATGTAAAATAAATATACAAATAATAAAAAAAAAGAAAAGTAAAAAGATCGGATCGGGGTTTTTACAGGTATCGGCACGATCCGATATTTTTGGAAAACGCTAAATATCGGTGCCGATTTAATATTTAATATCGGCACAGCCCTAAAAAAACAAAAAATTGATGAGGATCTGGATGATATTGTGAAGATGATCTAATAAGTAAGTTCTTTACCTTCCCATCCTCTGCGTCAGTTGAACATGTGCTTAGCGAAAGCTATATTGAGCACTAAGTTTTCTTGTTTATCTGATCAAAGTTTTAAATCAATTGTTAAAAATAAGTAAATAATTATTACAAATCTTATTCTATAATATATTAATTTCGTATAATTGTATTTTTATTAAAAAATTTATATATATAATATTTAATATTTTGTAAGTAACGCGTTACTTTTTTTAATAGCAATAACACTTTTCTTTATTTCACAAGATAACGTTTTCGAACGTTACGAATAACACCTTTTTGTTTAGCACTATTCATTACCATTCTCCAGATTTCAATTCTATAGAAAACCTATAGGGTTTACACAAACGAACGCAGACATATGGGACAAAGAATTTCTTGAATAATAAATTAGAGTTTATATGGAAGTTTATATCCCAAATTCAGTGCCACAACGTACACAGTTATAAAGGCAATGGTGGATATAACAATTTTAATATAGTTGAATATTTTGTCATAGTAGGATGATAATTTTTGTTAAGAGTTATATGTTTTAATAATTTATATTAATTTTTTGTTCATTATATATTACAATTACTATTTTATAATAATAAAGCTTTTGAAAAATTGAGTGTTCATGATTATTTTTAAAATTTCAATAATAAGAGTGGTCGCTTAATAATGAAGTGTGGGATAGTATGATAAACAATTAGTGTTTTTTTAAATTAAAGCTTATATTATTTTTTGTTTTAATTAATAAATTTTAAAAAATAAGTTTTTTTAAATCACAACTGGGTCATTTTTCAATCTAGTCAGCGTGGTTAAAAGGTCATCACTTTATTTTGAAAAATGTACCATATGTTTGATAAAAAAATCACTGTTTTGATTTTTTTAAGAATAACAATTCTCGAAATAAAATCATCTTTTTTTTTAAATTTTCAAAAAATAGAAAAACATAAACAAAGTTTGTTTTAAAATCCGGTAGCAAAAAATCTCTTATTTTATTGCTTTGGTTTTCCGAGCCCTAAAATAATTTATCATATTAAACTCAGTGAAAGTGATTATTTATCCTTGTGTAAGTAGTGGGCACATTCATATACTTTTAAGGTTTAAATATATTGGGATTTACTTTATTTTTTCATATAGGGCCGATTTATGGGCTCTGGGCTGTGTCGTTTACCAATTTATTACCGGCAATTATCCCTTCAGAGCGAAGTTTTATTCTTTTCATTTATTTCTAAGTTTTAGTTAAATAACGAATATGAAGGGGTTAAAGTTCGATTCCGAAACATAAAACTGTTTATTATATGGAGATATTGTTAGAGTTAGAAGCTCTAGCTTTTACCTATCATAATTTAACATAAAAATATACGGTACAACAGCAATGAATATCACATATTTCAAAAAATCTTACGTTTGAATTATGATACTCCACTTTATATGGATGCCGATGCTCGAGACTTTATACAAAAATTGCTCGTAAGTATCTTCTATTTCCAATTATATATTTTATTCAAAAACGAATACGAATAAGTCGATACATATTCGTACGAACTTTATTAATTCGATTTAAGTAATTATAAGTATTTTTTCATACAAAAATATATTGATAAAAAATTTTTTTGCTCCATTATGTTATTTACTTTCAAATTCTTATCAATAAAATGGGATATTAGTCCAAAAAAAAGAACCTGAGTTAAGCTGATCCAAATATCGGATAAAAAATTCATGACTTAATATAATGCATATAAATTTTAAGTGTTGGAGTATATTTACTTTATTGATAAAGCAAGATCTTGTATAAAATTTTTGAATTTCATTTTTAAATACTATGTATTATTATTATTTTCAGAGATTTTTAATTTTAACAAGTTATAATTAAAAATTCGCTTTTATAGATTTAAAAATTTGAATATAGGTTTTAAGAATATCAATTTTACTGCAATCCATTTGGGAATGGAGCCTATTATAATAATTAAAAATGGATTTTAATTTATTTATTAATTGATACTTTTATTAATATTTGAAATATTTAATAAAATTTTCATTCAAAAAAGGCGAGGTAATATCATAAAAGTTTAATTATGAATAAATATATTGAACTATTTCATAAAAAAATTTATCAGGATTTAAATTTTATTGTTAGAAACTAATTGAATATTAATTTTTTTTTTGAATAAGCCTATTATATATGTTCTTTGAATGGTTCTAGACGCTTCAAATATATATGACAATTTTTTTTTAAATTTATATATTTGAAAATTAAAATAAAAAATATTAAGATCATAGTTGAAATACATACCACTGTGGAATGGTAAAATGTCACTATTCAGAAATGATCGAATCATGCTACGCACAACTTTAATAAATAGCTCTATACTGAAAAATTATCTATATATGGATAAAAGGATTTTACATTCCAAGGAGTGTATGTTCGTGCATAATTTAACATATAAAAGAGGTTAAGTAGGGTTATATTTAAAAATAAAGGAATATAATGTTGCCTAAAATAATTTTTCAGTATGGATTTACCGATACCGGTAGAAATAGTCTGAGTATCAATTATACACCCAGAGTTTTTTTTACCAAGTATTAAATTGTTCTTGATATGTAAATTAAATTTTTTTCCAAGCATAAAAATCTTCTAAATTTTTTTTTAAGTTAGCAAGAACAATGTTTTGATTATTGTATCTGACCTAACATTGATAATCGGATTCTATTTTCAAAATGCTATATATATATATATAATGAAAATGATTGATATATTCTTTTTTTTTAAAAAAAATCTAATTATTTCATAGAAAATTAAACCTTCCGAAAGGCTAGGCAGCCCAAATATGGGTGGCTACCCTGCTTTAAAATCTCATCCTTTCCTACACATATACCTAGAAAATTTCGAAAATCTGTACAAAACTGAATCTCCGCTCTTGGTTAAATTATTAGTCGCTAAAGGCAGTAGCAATATTTTGCGAGCTACGGAGAGCGATAAAGAGGAATCGGAGGTAATATAAACTTTCATAAGATTTTCTCGTAATTAACGTGAAAGATTTCATTATTGCAGAGTTGTTAAGGAGCGGCGCTCCTGGAGCGCCCCTCCTTTTTAAAATTGGGGAGCGGAAGCTAGCTCCTTTTAGGGCTGGAGTGGAGAAGCGCCGCTTCACCGCTCCTTTAAATTTAATGTATAAATTAAATTATTTTTTAAATATTAATAATATTTATTAATTAAATTTAATAAAAATGAAATTTTATTTAATTTAAATTTATCCATTATTAAATGTTTAGCCGAGTTTTATATTGTTTTTTCATCTAATCATTTTAAATATTAAACATCAAGTTTTCCTTTTTATATTGAAAATTTTTTGGAAAATCTTGTAAGTCATATTTGTAGTGATCCTAAGATGTTTAAGACACTAAAAATGTTTATGACAAATTTATCCTCAAAGGTTAAGACAAATCTTTATTTCAAAGTTCAAGACAAATTTTTATTTCCAATTATTTTATTTTTTTCTTTTATTAATTTCAATACAAATATATATTATGCTTTTCTAAATTCAAAAAACTAAAATATATCGTTTATAATTTTTCTAAATTCACCAAATCGCGGAAAAAACATGAAAAACTATAATAATGAAAATCTCGAGCGAAAATAAAAATATATCATAGATGAAGAAATCGAATTTCCATTTCCATCATACAAAAAATATAAACTTCTAAAAGATGTTGATCCAAATGATCAAACAAATTACGGGCAAAATGTCTTTTGTGTTTAAATAAAACTATTTAATTTTCAAAAGTGAGCAACTTCAATCTAAAAAAGCATCTAAAAGTAAAAAATCTTTCTTTTAAATACAAATTAATTTGGAAGATTTTTTTGGATTCCATGAAAATGATCATCAGGAAGATAATATATTGGACAAATATTTTTTAAATAATGATACCAAAATTACTATTTTTGATAAATTCCCTAAATTAAAAAATATCTTTATAAAATACAATACCCTGCTTCCCTCTAGTGCTCCTATGGAGTGCCTATGGGAGAGGCGTGGATGTTTGATAGATTCTAATTTAAAATTTATTACTTTTAAAAGCTAATAAAAGGTTATAAATATTATGATAGATAATTTAATATAAATAAAGCTTTTTGATAAATAAAAATAAGATTTTATTTCGTATACCCTCCAAAAAAATAAAAATCAAAGGAGCGGTTATGGATGGCACTCCATTACCGGCAGCTAGCTCCTTTTAAAAATGTAGTAGCGGGAGCTAGCTACTTTTAAAAAGGAGCGTTAACAACTCTGCATTATTGTAAATATATTTTAATCATTTGGGATTTATTCCGCTACTTTGTTGCAACTCTATTAAAAAATAGCTCCTTTTTTAATTTTTAGTAAAAAAAATTGTTTAACAGAATATATCCCCCCTTACCCATCATAAAATAAATTTTTTCGATCTTTTATCGGAAATTTTGAAACAACAAAAAAACTAAAAATTAAAATTTATCAAATTTTATCGAAATCTTTAAAATTATCATTATATGCGGGGGGGGGGGGTCATTAGCCGGGGGGCGGGTAGGAACAATTTTCATCCTATTTTTCTTGAGGGGGGTAGGGATAGGCGCCTTTAAGAGGAGTAGGTTAAATTTATTGGGGGTTATTTATTAAATTTTTAGATGAAATAGAACAAAATATATTGTTGTAAAAATTAATACTTTTATTGTAGACTTATAATACAATGGTATTGCTAATCATCGACCAAATCTATATATTGGAAACAATCATAAACATTATTTTCCAAATAAAACTTTCTGCTATCTTACATTCTCATCAAACTCATATTCATGCCATACAATATGCTATAATAATGCATTCATTGTAAATGGGCAGGAGGGGGGGGGAGGTAATTGAATTCATAATCTAAAAAATAACTCTTATATTCACAATATTTTGAGTTGGTAATAGAGCTAAAATAATTTAAGTTATTCTTTTTAAAATTTATGAAAGGAATACCATTATAATTTAAAAGGTGTAAAGGGGGGGGGGTTAGGCATAGGTTGTTGAGGGCGGTTTGCATCCAGTGAAAATCCTATCATGTAGACGTTGGCGGGAGCAACATGAAAATTTATATAAAATAATAAAAAAGAAAACTCTTTTCTATATAATATGTAATTTGTCAAAAATAAATTTCGCCTTAAAGAATGATTATTTTTGTGTAATATAAATGAGATTTGCAGGTTATATTAATTTATATAGGTCCGTTAGGATAATTAACTTAATCTGGCGCCTAATCTACGAATACTTGAATAAATGATACTAAATAATGATAATTAAGATGAATTCGAGGATATAAAACATAAGATAGATAATAGGGATAATAAAATAAATTATTTTTCATCAAATTTATTTTTTCCTAAATACCAAGTTCACCAAATACCCCATAAAACCGGGTCTTAATGAATCTCAACTTAGTAGACTACATGGGTTAGGTCTTCTTCAAGAAACTTTTTCCCAGCTGACTTTTCTTAATAATAACGAAACTCCCGACACAGCTATTGATAAATGCACAACTCATCACGATAATATTAAATCTATTCAATCATCAGATGAGCACAATGTTACGAAGGAAAAAAATGGTGTATCGCTTTCTAAAGGTTAATAATTGTATTTGTCTCACGGAGACTTCTATTCATATTATATATTCTATCGTTTATATTTCATTCCAATATTGTATATTTCAACACTATTTAGTTTAGTCTATTAATCACTTTCATATAACAAGCAACAATATTTCTTATTTATAGAGGTCATCATATATTAATATTGTTTCATTTATTTTATCGTTGACCTCGTAATATACTTTGATTGATAGTACTCTCATATGGTTTAAATATATTCCAGAAAGTCAGACATGTAGTACTAAGAATTCATCCGATAAAGTTACAACATCCACCGCCTTCTCGGATAGTTCGGTTGTCTCTTTTAATAAAAGTTAATAAATTACAACTACAATCTAAATAATATTTTATAAGTAAGTTTAATCATGTTCATTTGTTTTTGGTTGTTACCCAGACTAAATGATTCAGAAAGCTGAGAATTGTTTTGAATTTTATCTAAATCCACAAAAATGGTCGTCTAGCGTGAATTCTAACTTCGACCTCGGGATTGTTGACTCAAGGTAGTGATCTGCATTGGGCCTAATTTTTCTAGCCTGGCCCGAATCCGAAATTTTCTAAAAAAAATTTCCGGTCCTGTCTGAATTTATTTAAATATATAAATTAATTATTTTTTAATAATTATTATACCCAAAATAAAAGATATATGTCATATGGCGTCTAGTAGCTTTTATAAATAAAATAAAATATTTTTATTTTACCTAAAAATTCAACATAAATTTGATAAATTTAGATATATTTTAAAAAAAATTCCAAGACCCTACCCTACCTAGCCCGAACCCGATTTTTTTAAAAAAATAGGCCCGTCCTACTTTTGCAGATCTCTAGCTCAAGGCCTAGCCAAATATATTTGTTAATTATTCACAACTAAAGCCGCTTTCGTATTGCACCCATAAAGTCGTTTTGGAAAAGTTGACAGCCTCTTTATGTTTTGAAAATTAAATATTATAATTAAAATATATTAAACTAGTTTTACAATATCTACGTGTAATAAAATAAAAAATTATTTATTTCAGATAGTGAATCGAATAAAATTATAGTAGGTAATAAGGGTGATCATATCAACGTTTCTCCTATGAAGAAAGACAAAAAGGTTAAAAAATTATGCCAAGATCATAAAGGTTAAAAAATGTCATTGTTTTTAAAAAAGGGAAAATTAGATTTAATATAAATCACAATTTTTTAATATAAATTTTAAAAAATTTGGATTAACCTGAGAAATTATTAACAATATGGATAAAATATACTACCTAACATTGATAGTTTTAAATATTTAAAGAAATATCTTTTTTTTAAAAACAGCCAAAGCGCAGTTTCCTTAAACCACCTAAGCTTAAAGGAAGTTCCAAAAAATTGTCCATGATGATCAAAATAGGGGTTCCTCCTTCCATATTTACTTATTCCAAAAATCGCCCCACAATGCATGATAATTTATCGGATAAAGAGTCAACTGCCGACCACCCTAAAACTAGGAAATTTGTCGATTCCACTAATGACTTAAATGGCGATAGAAAAAATTCCTTGCCAGCAATGCTACCCCATCATAAATCGGATTCCTATAATTCCGAACAAATGATTCGTTTAGTTAACAATTGTCGCTTCAAATTCATGGAAGGTCAAGAGATTGTCAATATAGGCATAGTTCACAAACGAGTGGTACGTGATTCTGCGTTTTGGATATATATTTTTTCCGTTAAATAGAAAAAGCAATGGAAAATATTTTCATTCATGGATGAATCTGTATAAGTCCATGTTAAATCACGAATCGGCCAACCCCATTCGATTTTTACGAAATTTTGCATACAAACTAAGGCTAGTGTAACCTATATTTGGGAGCTTCTTGGCGGTTATAAATTTAGAAATATCTGAGGAAGAAACATGAATAATGGGGTTTTTATGAGTCCTTTTTCTTATAATTATAATTGATTAAAAACCATACGCATGTAAATAATAAATTTAGAATAAAATTACTTAATATTTTTAAAATTTTTTGAGCATCTTTTGCTGGAACAATATTTAAAAACCTCATACAGAAAAATGGGTGACTTCGATTTTAATAAAATTTTAAACAAACTATTTCCATTCTATATAAATTAAAATTTTTAGATATGAGCCTTAACGATATCAAGATAAAATGGACCTAGTAAAATTGTGCAATATTTTTTTTATATTATAGCTGGTTTAATATATTTTATCGTTTAAATGATTTATAATGTCTATATATATTTTTTAAATAATGATTTAAAAGTTTGCTATCCAAGATTTACAATGCCTGGCTTTGGGCGACCTTTGCAGACCCCTAACAAGAAAATCCAAAATTAGCCCGTTAAGAAAATTTTATATTCTGAAAAATATTATGAGTTGCCTAGTTCATAAATTTTTTAGACATCTAATACTTAAAATAAAGCATATTTTTATTGATTAATGTTAGAATAAAGTTAAATAATAAAAGAACTAGGTCTGTGTCGATATTAAATATCAAATAGGATCGGCACCGATATTTAGCGTTTTCCAGAAATATCGAGTCGGGCCGATACCTGTAAAAACCATATCCGATCCGATCTTTATTTTTCTTTTTTTATTTATTTTACATTAACAATATTTTCTAAATAATTTTACAATGCAAATGCACAACATCCCTTAAATTTTATTTATTTTTTTAAATAGATTTATAGTATAAGTTTTTCTACAAAAATAGAAAGGAACACCCAAAGTTTTAATTATTTTAAATCTTTTTAAATAAAAACGCCAATTTTATTATTTATACTTTAAATAAAAGAATTTCTTTAAATATGGTATCTGAATTATGGAAATATTTTACAAAAATAATTTTGCAAATTGCGTTGTCTGCGGAATTCTAATTTCACGGGGAGGAATAATGAAAAATTTATTTAATACCAATATTCGTAAATTTTTTTTAATCATTGTAGAAATAAAAAAATTAAATTAAATGCATAATCCGATTTTTTGTATAAAGAATATTGATTTCTTAATTACAATCAATATAAATATCGAATCAGTATCGGAGAAATATGTGGATCGGCACAGCCCTAAAAATAACCTATACCATGTGTATGTTAGATATGTGCGCCCGGCCCAACCCTCAGCCAGGCATCGGAGATCATATAATAGAAAACTATTAGTTTTATTAAAAAATTATATAGAAGTAGTTAATTATTTAGGGGGAAAAATATGCTCTCTCTATATAAAGTATAAAAAATATTGCTCATTTTTGTACTAGTTATTATCGTTTTTACCTATGTTGTTGCTCAAAAGTAAAAAAATTGGTGTTCATTTTATTAAAATCGGAGCTACCCATTTTTCTGTATGAAGTTTTATTATTAAATAGACAAAAAAATCTAGGATAAAATTTTGCCTAAATAACAGGTTATGCGAACCTTCCCTTATATATTTAATTTAGTAAACGTTGGAGTGTCATCAGAAAATAATGTTTTTTATCGATTTTACACCACCTTATATCTAATAAACTTTCCTATTTTAAGGTTTTTGAGTTTTGCTTTAATTTTTTGCGAGAAAAAAAAATTAAATCTATGTGCTTTTAAATTTTAATTGATATTGATACTCTTACATCAATTAATGATAAATTTAGTTAAAGCATAGAATAAGGAATTATATATATTTTTTGATAATCATTTAATTTGTAGCATCGATCAAATTTTATAATTAATTTTTCATAGCTGAGTAGTACCCCAAAATTTTGTTCAAATTACCTTAAGCTAAAAGATAATAAAAAAATAATAATTGTCTAAAATGATAAAATAGGGATTATTCACCAAACGCAGAATGTTGATTTTAACAGATGCCGTTAATTCTAATAGCGATATAGGAAATTCAATGGAAACAAATGTACTAAAACCTCATCCCCATTTATTTTACCTAGACCCTACTAACATGATTTTGAAAGGTGAAATACCATGGTAAAAAATATATATAATTGACCACATTAATATTTCCTAATAGCCTTGTTAATTTGCAAATCGTTTTATATTTAAACGTTCCAATTAGCGCAAAATAATAGGACATTATGAATGTGTAAACGTTTTAGTATATTTTAACTAAGGCTGATTTTTTCCTGAATTTAATTCCTTTTATATCATTAAAATTTTTTGTATTTAATTGGTGTTTGAGTTATAACTCCTAAATTAAAATCCAGTCACTTCTTGGTTAATACAATGTAATTTTTAGTATCTTTTATAACAAGCTTTTTGAGTTAACAGATTAATTTGGTACATTTTTATTTCAATGCAATCACTACCTCTTATTTATCGAATTTTAAATTTACGAAATATAGAATATTTTAAATTTGTTTTTAATGACCCGAAACATAATAAATTATACTTTATAGGTCGGAAGAACTAAAAGTTGAACCGAAAAACTTTAAGATATTTTTCGTCATCACGGTAAAATGATTTTTATATCCTTCTTAAAGTGTAAATTAAAAATTCAATTTTTTCCATTCATCGATTTAATGACTATAACTAATTTCTTTTTATTTTAAGTTGATACGACTTGAAACAAAAAATACAATTTGTCAGTAAAAAAATATTCAATTAGAGCTTCTTTGAATCATTAAAAAAAATTAAATATTTTAATTTAATTAATTTTGAGACAAGGTTTTTTATTGATGTAAAATTCTTAAATTCAATAGTTTTTTCTATTTTAAGCCCAATAGAACTTATTTTTTGGAAGAATCAGAAGGTTTTGCACTCAAATGGTGTGCTGCAATCTCAAAACTTCATCAAAAATATTTCCCTAACACGCAGTTTTTATGTATTCGTTAAATTTTAATGTTTTCATATGCTAGACACCTTAAATGAAATATGCTATAAAGATTAACGATTCCTATTATTATATTCGCTAAATTAGTGTAAATACTATGTTAATAATCATTATGTTGACTACTTCAAATTGATTACATACACCCTTCAATATTTTTTACACATTATTTTTATCTAAACACTTAAGTTTATTCGGTTATAGAGACTACTTCAAAACTTATAAAGTTTAATATTTTGGCATAATCAAAATCAAGCAAGTTTATTCGTTTATATTGATAATTTAATTTAGTATATTACCTTTTAATATATGAATACAAATTATAATTAGGTTTTAAAAAAAGATCTAAAAGCAAGCGCACTATGTTTTATATAATAAAAAACTTATTTATAATTTACAAAATAAATATATATCAATAATTTTAAAAAGTAATCCAATTAAGCCATAGCAATGGCTTAGTGTTAAGAAATTTATTTTAAAAAAAATTGGCCATCGATAAAAAAAGGAAGAATCATCATTTTAAAGGGGTGTGGTGAGTATGGTAATCTTTGACAATATAATTTCGATTTTTTTCCCCAAAATGTTTTAATAACCTGTTAAATCGCATTCATTTTAAGATTATTTGGTTCGTTCTATCTAATCAGGTAAAGACATGTGTTTACAACATTCGTGAGAAGTAACCTTGTGTGCTATCTTATTCGCTGGTGTTAACTTTGGTATATTTTCCTAAATAATCTGCTTTGCAATTTTATTCATATAAATGAAGGTCTTTACAACAAAATCTTGAAATTTTCGTCGCCCTGAGGTTTAATGGAAAGGAATGGGGCTTATTCAAATTTAGCGATTTGAATAAATGTTATGTTTAGTCTATATTTAGGAATTATTGTTTTAAGTTGCGGTTTGGTTAAATAATTTGCTGTTTTATAAAATTTTCTTCCTTTTTCATAAATGCACCAATTTTTTTTATATCCAACGCACCCGTGAAAGGGGCATCACCACAAACGCTATTCTAAAATTTTTAAGATTTTCCCTATAGCTATAGTTTTTCCTGTATAAATTAAATGTTGATAAATATTTTAAATTTGTTTATATGTATAAATGTTAAAATAGTAAAAAAAATAATAATTAATATTTGATTTAATCCAGGACTTCGAACCGAACCCAGAGCTGTTAACCGGTTTGAGGGATTTTTCGTGAATCTGAAATTAAACTCGAACCTATTTTATTAAATTTATTGATGCAACTGAATAAAATTTTATATAAATAAAATATAATAAATCACATCATGTGTGCAACTGAAAAAATTCCCAGGGGATTCCCTATTATATATTAATCAAAAAATTATTTTGACCATTATGGCACAAAATATATTTAATCAAACAATTTTATATATTGGTTACGAACAAAATAATTTTTATCCCCATAAAAACAACACAGAAATTTTAAACTTGTATCGCCCAGACTTATATTAACATAGATTGCTCAACGCCCAATTGGATAATGTATTTAAAACATCGTTTATTTGACTCAATCTTTAAAATAAGGTTTCCATTATCATATGCATAACATAAGGTTATAAAACAATTTCTTATTAAAAAATGTAAATAAATATATTTTATGCAATTATTACCATGCGAACAATCCTTTATCAGTGTTATTGTAAATTATTTAAGATAATATTAAGGCTAATTTATCCTAATTTTATAAAATGACTATTTTTTAAATCAATATCTTTTTGTTCAGCAACTTTTATTTATAACAACAGAGGTCCAAGGAATAAAGATGTATATTTCAGAAGTAAATTTATTAATCTTTAAAATAATATTGGAATCAAAGCCAAGTTATTATTTCTTGATTTTTTCAATATTATCTTAATTATTTTCGAATATGAGAAAGTTGTAATATATCAAATTAAGCATGAGACCATTCTTAGTAGTATATGCATTTAATTTCGTATTCTCTTATCTTGCTCTTTGAATACTTCTTGTATATAATACATAGCCACTCATAAAATATTTAACATACAGACCATATGTTAATATCTATGACTTCTTTTTTTTCTATTTATATTTATTCTTGATCACTAACGTAATTTTTACTGGGATGAGGCTTAATGGAAAAAAAAATAATATTTGAATTGTTAGATTATATTGATAATTAAAAGTTTCAGAATTTTATTTATTGAATCTCATATTTATATATAATATCAGCAATTTGAATGCTCTATTTTTCACAAAACGAAAAAAATATCTAATTTTCCAAAAAGATAGAAGCAATTTTTTGGCCAATTACTAATTTTTTCATTATATAAAATATGTTTTCCAATGTTTTTTTTTAAAACATTTTTAAATTTTCATGAATTATATGTAATTAATTTTAATTTTTTTTTCAATTCGTAAATTTTCAAATTTATTTTAAAGTTCTCTTTTCATGAATTTTTAATTTATGTGATATAATATTATAAAAAATTTTTTATATTTTGTTGTAAAATAAAGGGGCATTTTTGCTATATCGATTTTAAAATCTTGCGGAAAATTTTTTAATATTTTTTTTTAAATATAATTATTCTATAAATTGTTTAATAGGTTAATTATGTTTCTGATATTTTTAGTGATGTTATTTTTAATCACTGTGCAGCCCTGTTAATACAAGTCTATGGTAACGCCTTAAGATCTTTGCACCTTAGTCGTGTGGTCATCCTCTCTATAAATTGTCCACTTTGTCAGTAGTTATGTTAAAAAGCAAGGTGTTACTGATTAATAGTCATAGGGAGCAAAGTGGTGATTTAAAAAAATGGAAAACCCGGTATATACCCTTAGTGACTTCTACTATGGAGAAGGGTGGAGTGTAATGCAGGATCGTCCAGTAAAATTCTCAGGATGGTCACTTTTTTAGAATATTGAACCTCCTTAGTCATTGCGAGGGGTAATTTTTATTTCCTATTATTTATCCACATTGAAATATAAAACACAGTTGTAATTCAACATGGTGATATCAATTATATGCTACAATATAATTTATAATATGTTTTTGCAATGTTTTTCTATTTTTGTTATAATTATAATAATTTTCAGTTATAAATATAATTACTTTTATTGTTTGTAGATCTTTTACTATTTATATTTGTCTTTTATCAGTAATAATTATTTGAGATTTTAGTGGCACTGTGTATTTCAGTTAAAAAAGTAAAATTAATTTAAGAATGGGTGGCTCTCCCAAAATCCTACTTTCAGCCTCATCGTGGTGGGGTAGTGGCAACGTCTTTTGGCGGCTAATGGAGGTCTAAAAGGTTCCCTGAGATCTGGGTCTAGAAAAGGATCACCGTCTCCTCGACGGGGTGTAAAAACCACTTAAAGATGTTGATGTCAGGATGGGCATCCGATTGTAAAAACTTTGCTACAAAATTTCCCTATGGTTACAACAAAGCATGGGTGGGGTACAGCCCAAAGTACCCCGTGGGCCTACGACAAAAAGAACACTATTCATGAAAATGAAACTTATGACGGCCATAAACGACCTGATAAAAAGTGGAGAAACCAGTTTACGGGTGATCGAGTTAGGGTCACGACATGGAATGTTGGGAGTATGATGGGAAGAGCGGGAGAAGTCGTCGATGTATTGTACGGCATATAGATGTGTGCTGCATACAGGAGACTAGATGGAAAGGAAATGGGACCAGAATGATTGACAAGACTAGCGAAAAGTATAAATTCTTTTGGCAAGGAGGTAATGATGGTAAGGCTGGAGTTGGGGTATTGGTTGCGGAGAAATTGGTAGACAAAGTAGTCGTAGTGAGAAGGCTAGACAACCAGATAATGGTTATCAAGATGATTTTTGGTAGAAAGCTATATAATATTATCTCGGCATATGTTCCTCAGGTTGGAAGAAGTGAAGAAGAGAAAGATATATTTTGGGACAGTCTATTGGGGGTGACATCGAGACTGGCAAATGAAGAGGGGATTATCCTGGCTGGTGATCTGAATGAACATGTGGGAGTGAGTAGTGAGGCTTATGAAGGAGTACATGGAGAGTTCAGTTACGGCATGAGAAATTTGGAAGGAGAGAGGATTTTAGTGATGCTATGGATATGATTGTCTGTAATACAATGTTTAAGAAAGAATCAGAGAAGCTGGTGACTTATAAGTAGGGTAGTACCAAAAGTGCAGTGGATTACTTGTTATTAAGGAGATGTGATCGATGTATAGTAAAAAATGTGAAAGTGATACTGGGAGAGGAATGTATAAATCAGCATCGACTAGTTGTAGGAGATCTCACTCTTAAAGGTGCCAGGGTCACTAAAAGAAAGTTTGTCCCAAGGCTGAAGGTTTAGAAATTGAAGGAGGAGAGTGCTAGACGTCAATTCAATATGGCATTGGCGATTAGGGAGGCGAAGGTGGCACAAGCATCTGGGGTGAATGACAAGTTGGAAGCCATGAAGAAAGCCTGGGTAATGACAACTGAGGAGGTATGTGGATGGACAAAAGGGCCGCCTAGACATAAAAAGACTTGGTGGTGGAACCCGGAGGTAGCGAAAGCCGTGGATGAGAAACGGAGATGTTTCAAAGTATGGTAAAATAGCAAAGAAAATAGTGATAATGATATTTACAAGATGGCTAAAAGAAATGCTAAGAAATTAATAGCGAAGGCTCAAGAAGAAAAAAGACACGAGTTTGCTAAAGAAATGGAATGCGCTGATGGAATTGGAAATAAGGTTCAAATGGCAAAAGAGATGTCAAAAAAGAGGCAGGATGTGATAGGTGTAAAGTGTTTGAAAAATATGGAAGGAAAATAGGCGATTGATGGTAGTGGTATTAAGAACACCTGGAAGATTGACATCAAAGGACTTTTGAATGAAGAAAATGAATGGGATAATAACATTAGTTGTGCAAAGGTAGAAGGTCCAGGGTGTAAATTTAGCAAGGACGAGTAAAAGAGAGCAGTGAAAAAGATGAAGAAAGGGAAGGCATCGGGTTTAACGATGGTGGTATCAGAGATGTTTAAAGGTTCTGATGATTTAGGGATTGAATGGTTAATGAATTTAGCCAATCAAATTATCACAGAAGGTACTATTCCCGAGGACTGGCGAAGAAGTATAATTATCCCAGTATACAAGGGGAAAGGTGATCCTTTAGATTGCGGGTCTTACAGAGCTATTAAACTCTTGGAACATGCAATGAAAGTATTTGAGAGAGTGTTAGAGAAGCGGTTAAGGGAACAAATTAAAATTGATGAAATGCAGTTTGGTTTTACATCGGGAAAAGGCACGACATATGCAATTTTTGTGGTGAGACAAATTCAGGAGAAGTATCTTGCGAAGGAAAAGAAACTCTATTATGCGTTTGTTGATTTGGAGAAAGCATTTGATAGGGTGCCGCATGAGATTACTAGATGGGCCTTGAGAAAATCAGGTGTGGAGAAATGGTTGGTTACTGCAGTGATGGCAATGTATGCTGGAGCATAAACAGCAGTACGGACGGATTATGGTGATAGTGACAGCTTTGAGGTGAAGGTAGGACTTCATCAAGGATACGTGCTGAGTCCATTATTATTTATCTTAGTAATGGATGTGGTGGCTAGAGAAATGCGTGAAGGACTTCCTTGGGAGATATTATATGCAGATGACCTTGTATTAATGGCAAACAGTGAGGGAGAATTGAGGGATAAAGTTAGTAAATGGAAGATGACTATGGAAGCGCCTGAAAATGAATGCATCAAAAACAAAGGTGATGATTGGTGGGGAAAATCTAAAGATGGAGGAATCCGGTAAGTGGCCTTGTGGTGTATGTGGGAAAGTAGTTGCTAGAAATTCTATCCAATGCACCAGATGCCAAAAATGAGTACACAAAAGATGTAGCGGGAAAAAAGGCAGTGTGATGTTAGAAAGAATGACCTTTATTTGTAGAACATGCATTAAAGGGATACATAATAATGATAACCTAAAAAATGGTGGTCTGGATATTGGCAATGGGTTAACCCTAGAAAAAGTGGATAAGTTTTGTTATTTAGGTGATATGCTAAACGCAGATGGTGGTGTAGATTCTGCCGTTGTTGCAAGGATCAGACAAGCTTGGAAGAAGTTCAGAGATGTCGTCTATTCTTACAAATAAAAAAGTTTCTCTGAAGTTAAAGGGGAAAGTTTACGTAAGCTGTGTGAGGAGTTGTTTAGTTTATGGCGGTGAAACATGGGCAATGAAAGCGACTCACGAAGCCAAATTAGAAAGAACAAAGATGAGGATGGTTAGATGGATGTGTGGGGTATCTCTGAGAGAGAGAAAAACTAGCAAGGAATTGCGAGCAAGACAATGATGGAAGTAGGAGGATCAAGACCTAGAGGAAGACCCAAGATGACGTGAACAAATGTGATAGCGGCGGATATGAGAAGCATGAATCTTACAAGTATTGATGCTCAGGACCGTCAAAAATGGAAAAAAAAAATCAGAGGGAAAACTGGCCTACCCGGGTAAACCTGGAAATCGCCATAAACGGAGAAGAAAATTTAAGAATGAGGGGGGGGGGGGTAAGTGATAAAAATTTTAGGGAAGCATATTTATGAAAATTAACCTTAAGTAATTTTAGGAAGTGTAGAAGCCACCGCATACCATTAAAAATCCTTTTTTATTAATTTAAAAACTTCAAATTTTTGAATGACGTTTTTGAACCAAAATCCATATTACCGAACCCGTTTTTAATCGAATAAGGCTCAGTATTTAAAAATATCCGGTTAGAAGCCCTGATATATATACATAATAAATAACAAATCTCAGAAAATTATTATTTATCTAAACCTTCATCCCTAAGCGTGATTCTTCCCATCCTTGGGAAGTCTTTAAAAGTTTCCAAGCATATTGTTCCTATACTCTCAAGTCTAATTATAGCTGCTTGGTCTTGCTTTACAAAGCGTGGTCTTATTGCTCCCTTTTGGCCAGTCTTTTTGTCTATCAGACAAATCAAAATCTATTATAAAACAAAAAATCCTCTATATAGACAACGTTATTACTTTGATTAATAAATTCCGACTCTTATTTCAACCACAATTTTCCGAAATTAAAATGAAAGGGTTAAATTTAAAAGTTATCAAAGCCTTATATAAAACGCAAAAATCAAATATTTAAATCTAGATATGATTGTAAGTTTTCAATTAATAAAGCAATGTTTTTGAAATATAATAACTTATTTAAAATGAAATTTATAAAAGAACGAAAATATATGTATTATTAAAAATCTGCTATACCTTAACAGTGACCTCTTCAATAAGAGTGTGAACATGTAAAATTGCAGAAAATCCTGGGCATATGATGCTTTTAAGCTCCAATATTACAATCTAAAAGATATTATTATAACATAAATTTATTAAATTAAAATCATACTTCTTTTCTTATAACAGACTAAGTAAATTAAGGGTTAATAATTAGGGAAGGAGAAACGTCGGTCACCTGTGACGAGACGTGTGTTCTCATCCATCCCATCTTTTTCTTATTTATTGCAAATGGATGTTGTTTAATTGTATATATTGTATTGTTGAGATTACTTCTACTTAGAGATCTGCAAAGACCGGCCCGCAGGTTGAGCCTTACAGATTTTACAAAAAATTATAATGAGTCGAGAAAAACATTTAAATTTGTACATTCAAAATAAATGAGCCGGCCGGATAATCCATGCATAAAATTATGGTCAAGTTTAGCAAATCTGTTTTTTTGTAAAATTTTGACACCTCAACCAGGACATTTAAAATTTTGAACTATATACTAATATATATTAAATAATACTATATGAAAATACAAATCCTTATTTCTTTATATCTTAAGAGCTGTTTAACTAAAATAAATCCAATTACAAATATATACAATGCAGATACTAAAACATAATTGATTTATAAAACGGTTGTTATAAAAATATAAGCCTTAATTGATATTAGATTAGACATATTATTAGGAAAATTCGTTTAAAAAATTATGGTCCGGGTGAAGCTTTTCGTAAATTTTAATGGGCCGGGAAACTAGTAAAAAAAATGACCGAGCCGGACACACTTGTGCAAAAAATATTAACGCGTCGAAACAAGCCTAGTTTTGCATATCTCAACATGTATTCGATTATTTTATTAAATTAACTGAGAGCGACACTAGTATTATATGAATTCCTACTATTTCGACATTATTCATATTCAGAAGTTTTTTCCTACTTCATATCCTTTAATTAATAAGTGCGGGCATATGTTAAAAAATCTAATCTCTGGGACAGACGTTTGATCTTCTCCAATCATATTAAAGCACTTTATGTCAATTATTCAGAGAACACAATTTTATAAAATATTAACATAATAGGTTAAAATTGGAATGTCGATTCATAATATATTTTTATGGCTTTGTTACAACAGGGTTTGAAAGTAAAAAGTTTTGATCTTAAATAAAAATTTGGAGTTTTTGACAAAAAATGATTTATGAATTATTTAAAAAATAAATCTATTGGATTATGGGATGGGCAAAAAGTATTAGAATTAAGTTATTAAAAACTGTTAAATTTATTTTTTATGAATTAATGATCCACATTAGGCAAAATTTTTCTTTAAAAAATTCCCCGTCAGATTAGAACAAATTTTTTTTTTATTTGTCCCAAAAAGCCCGAGGCAAAATAAAAATAATTTATTTGCCGGGCCAAAATTTTGTTCAGTATATAAATTAATTTTTGTAGTTTTTTTAAACTAAATACTTCGGAATAGATGAAACTTCATTAGAGAAAGCGCTTGTAGCGTTTTAAATGAGAATTATCATATAGTATACATATAGATTGCAATATACATTTTTATTTTAACCGGTTTTTTTTTCAAGGACCACGGTCTGGACCGATTTTAATTATTACTATTTAATTCATATAATTTTTTAAACTTTTCCTTTTTGTGATTTTTTTTGTAATATACTATGAAAACAAAAACTTTTCGTTCTTAAATTAAATATTTTTATTATTTATAATATCCTTTGCATTTGAATGTTGTTAACATAATATGTAGTAATTTTTAAAGAGATCAGAATTATTCGGGATCATCACTGGGTTTAAAGGGATCCCTTTAAGAATTGTAATTAAATATCTTTTGATTCCAACAATAATTATCACTTTAAGTGAGCGGGATTAGATTGAGGGTGGGGGGGGGGTCAGGAATATTTTTATCATCACAAAATATCTATGGGCAAATAAAAACTAATTTAAATATTTTTTGGTAATTATCCTTAAGAGCTTTTTATGGCAGTCGTTTCAGAATCCGCTTGTAAATCGTACCTCGAAATATAGGAAGATCCTTACTTTTGCTTTTTCTGACTTGAATGAACATATGAATTTTAATCATAAAAGAGTGTATAATAATAAAGACGAAACTTAAGTATAATTATCTGGATGAATGTAGTTTCAATGAATATATAAACATAAAGTTAATTATCTTTTTGATCTTTTCATTTTGCTAAAATAAAATTATATTTATTCGTATAATATTTTATATGTTAAACACCACAAAAACAATTATAAAAAACTAAAAGTGAAGATGAGGATTCAGTCATAGGATGAATAAAACTTATTTTTCTTTTAAAATTTTTACAAGCCTTTAATACATAATATTTATGTAAAACTGCTATTTTATAATTATTTGGACGTGGAATAATTTTTTATTTTCAACTTTAGCATTTAAAAAAAAATCATTATTCTTAAAAATTAAAGGTTCTATGGTCTGATTTTCTTCTATAATATACTAAGATTTAGATAATAGATTTATAACCTGTCCAAGGCCCATAATCATCAAATAAAAAAATTTATTAGATGTTATATTGATTAAATAAAAATTATTATTTTCTTCCAACCTTTCGGAATATTTGAAATTATTTTTTGGATTTTAAATAATATTTATTGCATCTAATACTTTTAAAAATTTACTATAAATTTAATTATAACCTCTTATTATTTTATTTTCTAAATCAAAAATGTTAATTAGATTAAGAATTCAAGGAAACGATGGCGTAGATTCCATAAGTAGGAATTTTATTCAGTATAATTGGCATTGCCCTTCGCTAGATATCTATATAATCTTAGAAAAAAGGATTTAAAAAAAATTAATATAATAATTAAGCAATTTCAGAGCGCAATAATAGAGAGAGCAGAAAATGAGTGGCCGCCGTGCCCAGTTTCTATGGGTATTTGGCTCAATCATATTTTTAACTAGTTAAAAATATAGATATAGGTTGATTCTGATGAAAATTGTGCATATAGAGCCGTCTCTGGATCTTTTGAGACAAAAGGTATCATTTAATTAAAAGACATGGCGGCATTAATTCTTTATAAATATATATACAACATCAACGACCAGAAGTATGAAACAATTATTAACAATTAAATAATAATTAGTACTTATGATCTATATGTTATAAGTGCTGTAATTAATTGATTTCTACTTTTTATTCTTTGATTTCTACTTTTTATTCTTTGATTTGTGGTAATGGGTGTTAGAAAACCACCCCCTTGTAAATTAATAGTCGAGTGTTGTAAACATTATAAATTTAATGATATATTTAACCATTTTGCTTTGTTAAAACCCATATCATCATCGGCCCAACCACCATTTAATTTTTCTTTTATTATAGATGAGTATAATCATAATATGTAATGTGAAAATATAAGTGTTAATATAGATAATAATTGGTCGATTTAGATTTAGAAATAACATTATCTTTACCAATTAATAATATAAAAAATATTTCTTTTACAGCAGATGAGTTTAATCTTAATATCTCTTATGATAACATAAGTTTAAAAAATAAATAATTATGACCCATCTTTAAAAAACTTTCATAATAACATTTTAAATTTAAACAATAGTCAAATAATAATAGGTTGTGATGAAAATTACGGTAAATTTTCAAATGTACTAGATGCTATAAATACTTCAAAAAATCCAAAGAATATTTTACCAAATATTGATAGAGGTTGCAAAAATAATAAGTTTTATTTAATTAATAAAAATAAATCTAATAAATTTTTTATTTTGATGATTGTGAGCCTTGGACTAATTATAAATCTCTCTTACTTAAATCTAATTATATTGTAGAAAAAAATCATACCAATTATAGGAATAATGAATTTTTTAAAGATACTAAATTTGAAAATAAATGAATATTAAATTCAATCATAATCACGCCCAAATGAAAATAAAATCAATTTTAAATAAAGTTTAAAAGAAAAATAAGTTATATTTATCCAATGACTGATCGTGAAATTTAGTTTTTTATAATTATTAGCGGGCCCAATATATAAGTCCTATATATTGGGGCCGCTAGTTACGTCAACTTAAAAAGATCTGATAATTATTATATTCGTACAAGCGAGTTTAATTAATAATATTAAAATGCAGGAACCAACGAGATACATATTAACATCAATGTGTTATTTTTACAACTTTAAATCATCTTTTGAAGCGCATTTTTTAAAATTTAAAAATCTGATTTTACCGGAAATATATTCTATCATGTTTGGAATATATATCTTATAAATTGTAGAAAATTTTGCTGTTAACCTTTAAGTCATTTATAATTTAAATAAAAAATATATGGAAAATTTAATAAAATCATATTAAGATTAAAAGTTCATGAAATTGTCTGAAATTTATGGGGTAGGTATACTCCAAACATGACGGCATACATTTCCGGTAAAATAAGATTTTTAAATTTTTAAAAAATCATCAAAAAAAGATTAAGTTGAAAAAATAACACATTGCCGGAAAAAACACATTGATGGCATATATAATGATTTAATAAGAAACAATAATATTTAAATTCACCGAGAAATATTAAGCAAATATACAATATTTAAAATAAAATAAATATATTTATCCTAGTTTTGCCAAAAATATGCTAGATTATTAATAAAATTCAAACTCACCCCCTTCATCCAGATAATAATACATCATAAATATAAGTCCAGTCTATAATATTATACACCTTTTTTAATTAAAATTTTAAAATTCATGTGCTCATCTGTAATCCGAACATTATCGATATTGATAAGACTTTTAATCTTGGTGATCCATACGATACATCTTTAGGTTTTAAGCATAAATAGAAGAACTAAAACTGGAAATTTTCTTATATTTTTAGGACCGATTTTTTACATGTGGATTCTGAAACGACTACCTGCAGAAAATTTAATTAAGGGATACCATATTAAAAAGTAAGTTAATCCCTTGAAAAGACAGAGAATTAAACTTTCTGAGGCCAAAAGGATCGAAAAGGCCTTACCAAACTAAAAGGCTAAAGCAGAAAGAACTAGATATTTTTAATATTTTAATAAATTTGAACATATAATTAAAGTGTTCTATTATTTCTTTTATAAACATTTAAAAGTTATATATAATAAATAAATTGATGGGAGAGATTTTTTCCATCATTATGTATAATATATACTATTGTAATGAATAACTTAAAATTCTTAAGTTCATATTTAGGGTTCAATAGGGTAAAATCTTCCCCATGTAAGTAGTCTTAGTATTCCTAATTTCTAACTAAGTCCAAAAAGCCCTATATGCTCAACACAAAATATTAATTTAATTTTTTATGATTAAAACTATCCAAAAATCATATATACAGTCCCCGTAATCTATGAGTGGTCGTTTTCATATCTTCGTAATGTTAATTAAATTTTTTTTTATCAACTTTCCTATCATTTTAATCTTAGCCTAATGTTAAATTTCCAATCTATCCAACCGGCTGATCCGTGCCGACCAATTCGAGTTTGAAATCGGTTTTAGATTGAGATTTGACCTCAGAAAAGAATTGCCAATGACTAGATTTTAACCCGTGCCACCTCCCCGTGGCAAAAGCTATCCCTATGTACCCTCACGTACATTATAAAATATCAGCTGAAACAAAATGTTTTTCATTGGTATACTTTTCTTCCAATATTATTATATTATTTTTTTACCCAATGAGCTTACGTTATCTGATTTAATTCTATTGGATCCTTTTTTTAAACAACGATGCTCAATCACATCTACTTAATATATTTAATCATTCTTATAAAAAAAAATTCTCGCTGATATAATTAATTTATATTGAATAATATATGAAACTATATTTTTTATCCTTTTTGATAGTGTAGTAATCAGATCCAGACCCTCTTGATCGGGTGAGGCAGTCACCCTGGGCTTCCAGATTTTGTTTTTCATCCATTTCAAAATAAATTATAATTTATTAGATGCTTTATTCATTTATAACAAACTTTTATGCATCGTAAAATTCGTTCTTTTGAAAAACATGATGAAAGGAAATCTTTTTATTTTAGACAAATTTTGAACTTGGACGTCATTTTTTTACGTTCATTTCTTGCACTCTTCTCTTGTTCAATTTTTAAAATGTAAGCAAAACTTTTTATTAAAAAATTTAAATAATTTGTCAGCTGCTGTTTACTACAGATATTTCCCAGCACAATTTCATTTTTGATGAGTACTTACTTCTATTCTAATTTGAAAGGTATATATCCCACATTAAACTCACATTTAATTGCACAAAACGTAGTGTTACAAAAATAAACTTGTATCATATTTAAAGAAATCGGTGGAAAGCTCTATATTTAGATGTTTCAAGGCCAGTATCAAACTCGAATTGTCTTTGATAAGACTTCCAAAAACGGGCTAGAATTGTGGTATTTTATTTGCCATATATTAAATGTGTTTTTAAAAAAATTTAGTATTATAGATTTGAATAAAGATTTTTACGAATTTGAACGTGTTCCTTTTTTTTATAAATAAACGTTGAGGACGAACGTATTTAATTTTTGTCAATGAATAACAATCGAACACATTTATTTTTTTAATGCTCACAGCACTACATTATCTATTATTCATATTCATGCTTATTTACTAATCCCATTTTGAAATCGAAGATCGCCCTGGGCTACCAAAAGTCTATGCATCGGCCTAATTAATTAGATCCCCTTTATTTTATAAGGTATGAATAATAAATGAATCTATATTTTGATGAGAAGTGGTTTACATTTTCTCTTATTTTGATAGGGTATGGAAGCAAAGTATATATTTACACTTTTGAAATGTCTATACTAGCAGCTAACATGTAGAATGACGGGTGAATCAGATTCCCCTTCATTTGATGATAAATGAATTAGAAATTTACGTATTATAAGGTATGACCAAAAATTAATTTTTATTTTGATAAGACGTGGTTCCTAAATTTTCTATTATTTTAAAAAACGTTAATACAGTATAGTAGCACTTTCAATATGAACAAATAATTGTGCAGGCAAATAGTAAATCGACAACAATTATGCAATCTAAAATAAGGTGTGCAAAACCATCATCTAAGAATATTTTACGATAATGAGGTAGATATTTTTAGGCAAAGTCAAATTTTTGATTCGTCATCAAGTAAAGGAAAAATATCTGGTTGGAACGTCATATTGATGGGTTATCTACTGGTATAATAATAATGGTTCATTTATAATAAATATTCGTCTTTCTTTCTTTTTAATTTAATGTTAAAATTACAAAAAAAAATGTAATCAAATTTAAAATAAGTTGAACTGTTATAAAATTAATATTATAATATAAAATTAGGAAGTTTTTAATTTCAATGGATAAATTTGCTACCAAGTTAGTGATAGAGGTGATTTTGAAACTCGGATTTATATTAATACAAAGTAAATATAGAATAATCTATTAGAAAATTTCTTAAATCTAACCTAATGACAGATCTTATAAAAAAATGTATGTTAATTAAATAGAAATAAACTTGGATTTTATGAACGCAAACGTGCAAAGGAACTAATTTTTTGACAGGAAGGGAACAGGAATGCATTAAAAGTAAAACTTTAAAACTAAATCTGTCATTTGATATGAATGCTCAATTCATTGTTATATGTAGAGAAACATGTTAATAAATTCATTTCTTTACATTGCTTTTTATTATTTTAAGATAAAAAAATTAAATCGGTCATTATACTTGTTAATTTTAAAATATATCGTGAAAACAGATTGAAATTAAATACCTTTGACAGGGTTTAACAACAAAGTCCTGATCATTTGCGTGAGCATTCAAAAAAAGATTTATTTAAAAAATCTTCATTTTTTTTATCTACAAAAATTTTTGATTTTGAGGAGTTGTGAAATGAAAATTAAAAATTAAGTTTTCATCATTTTACCCTTCCCTATCCATATATTCATCGTGAAAGGGACGTCACAATTAGTCATATATTACATTTTTCCACCCAATAGAAATATCACAATCTTTTTGGATTTTCATTATTCTTATTTAATTGCAATTTGTTTATGTAACGAAGAGCTTTTAATCAATATTTTATAAGCTGCGATAACTAGATAATGGTAACTTAACCTTAAAATAATTTCCCAAAGGTAAATGTTAGAGTCTGTTGTACTATAATATTTTTAAAACATTTAGATTAATGATTGATTTATTAAATAAGAACCTTTATATTTATAAAAAAAAATTAAAAAATAAATCTTTAAATTAACTCCAATTCAAACCCGAAAATTTAACATAATACAAAAACTAAACCTGAACATCGAATAATTTGCCTGTTCTGCAAGGATGTAAAATGTCGCATAGCACAAAACCTGGGCAAACATCCTTTTAATTGTATAATATGATTGATATATGAATATTTTTTTTATATTAAAATATTATTTTATTGTTTCCCAAATCATCTCTATAATTACAAAAAAAAATATGAGTTTAGTCATTAAATTACTTCTTCCTCAACTCCTTTAAGCTTGAGTTTAATATTTTCGCCATTGACAGCTTTCTTAATTTCTACTTCATCTGACCACATCTGAAGAACCTCGACCAGATTCTGTAATCATGCATTTAATATAAATATTGTTATATCATGTAATACAGGACAGACAATTTCTAGGCCTCGGTCAGTCCGAATCTTAATTCTTAAATTTTCGTTCAGGCCAGACTCGCATCTAGCTAAATTTTATGTTTCCATAATGCTTTTTATATACATTTTAAGAAAAACGCCGATTTATTTTATTTTTCTTTGGCGCCCATAGTTTTTATGCTTTCCTTGAAAAATGGTGCTTTTTCTTAAGCCAATATTTTTAGGTTAAAGGAACTACTTATACGGATACTACTTATACGGATAAAAAGACTCTCGAATCAGGTCAGATTTTAAATAAATAGGTTTAAGCAGGGTTCCAATTTAAATAGATTAATTTGTATTTGAAATTTTGATTCATTATTTCAATTTTATCAGTGATAAGTTATTAAACATATGCCCAGTATAAGTATTTTCTCACTTTAAGTTGACACTAATAGAGGTCTGCAAAATCGTCCCAATAAAACGTTAAAGAAAAATCTTATAGAAAAAAAATTGAAAAGATTTAATATTTATTTATTAAATATAAGACGCTTCTGTCCTCTCCTCCTGCGCCAATTAATAAGTGTTAATCAAAAAAAATTTAAAAAAAAACTCTTGTAATTTACAAATCGGTATTATCGAAATTTATTTAATCAAGATTGTATTTGATTTGTATATGTTAGCGTCAACGTGTTTTCTCTGGTAATGTGTCAATTTTTTAATTAGAAATTATTTATTAAGCCCGTTTTTTTAGATTTGAAAATTTTATTTTGCCAGAAACTTATCGCTGATGTAAAAAATAATTAGTCATATTTTAAACGACTTTGCTATAAACTTTTTTTTATATTGGTTCACAATTTTATGACAAATTTGTCCAGATATTAAAGTATACATTTTTATATGCTGAAATACATTTCTGGCAAAATTACATTTTCAAATTTAAAAAACTCACTTAATATATAATTTATAGTTTAAAAAATAAAAAAAATTTCCGGAAAGAAAAGATAGATGCATCCTGAAATTCATATTTTATATAAATATTTTATTTAGAACGCAACATTCTTCTTTTCCATGTCCATATCTAAAATGCAGAAATAAAAGTTTTGTTTTACTTTATTAGGCATCAAATAGATAGTTTGTCCCTTGTAAACAGTTCCTGATTCAATCTTTCCCAAAACCAAAGTACCCATATCCTTAATGTTTTATTTAATGGTACATTATATAATTAATAAGATAGGAAAAAGGTAAAGACTAAACAAAGACGGGTTATCTAATCCGAAAAATAGGACAGTTGGTCCATATTAGTAATTTATTTTTTGTGCCTAACTTATACTAACAATAAATTGTTTCCAAACTATAATCATATAATTCATAACTAAAACTAGCATTTTATTTATAAAAAAATTAAATATTAGGGTGGTTCACAACCCTGTCTTACACCTTTCTAGATTGATTAATATAATAAAACAGTATTTTTTTTTTATTAAGGAACCGATCGAACTTGTTGTTTAATAGGTGGAAGAAAGTTTTAATGGGGATAGTTGTTTTCAGCAAAATTAGTGCTTAAGCAACAATTTTATACCATTTTTTAATATTTGATAGGCTGGATCATTTATTTTTTTAAATATTTCAAACCGATATAAACGATGAATAAAATTTTAAATAAAATTCATTATATCATTTTTATTAATTCTTGTAATATTATTTTTAAAACTAAAATCATAACATTAAAACAACATACTGGATCATCATTATTTTTAAAGAAAATAGTTATTTTTTTATTTATTGAAATTCTACACATTTTGCTTATTTTTAATTTATTTTAAACTTAGCAAACTATTGAAAATGAAATAATTGTAAGACAGTTTTAGAAATGATAAAATATGAAAACTAACCCTATATCTATCTATAATAGGAATCCTGAGAGGGCCGTCGAACATTCTTTGGAAAGGAGGGAAGGTTTCGAGGTAGTCCAAAAAGGATGGTCCACTAACCAAAAAAATAAGTTAGATATTTGATTAGATGCTAGTGAGCCTATTCAAAAACGAAACGAATAAGGAATTATTCTTATTCGATCCGTTTAAACATATCAAAAAATTTATTATTTATATTTGTACGAATAATAAAATGTACTATTCTTATTCAATTGGTTACAAATATTAAATTATTCAAGACATGTAAAAGAATGGAATACGAGGAATTTATTAATCAATAAATGATAGTAATGGTATAAATTGTTTCCCAATGTTTGTTCTTTATAAACAAACATCAAAATTTACAACTTTATTTCATTCTTTATTTAAAACTAAATTTTAAAAAAAGCATTCCACATACCTGTACCATGCTAGAGCTGGGCAACTTTTATCGGGTAAATATTTCAAAAATGTTCCCTGCAATCCAGAAACTGGCATAAAATGAAGGTCTGTTTTCGGGTTGAAGCCAACCTTTTTGAGGAAAGGAAGCAGCTTTTCTTTGCATTCTTTATAACTTTATAAGTGAGTATAAATATAATAATTTGCCAATATATTAAATTTTATTTCATTAATTTCTCTTGGTACTACAGAAAAATATTTACCGTTCATGATCCCATTTAACGGTAGGGTCGTCCATCTTGTTTATCAACACAATCAAATGTCGAACTCCTATAGTTTTAGCCAACATAGCGTGTTCTTGAGTCTGACCTCCCTTTTCGAAACCCGTTTCAAATTCACCTTTGCGAGCCGATATTACCTGAGAATAGATAGAATCGATAAAAGTAATAAATATAACTTATTGAAGAGGGTAAATTAGGGAAATTGTTGAAAAATATTTAAAACCAACCGTTTTGCTACTCGAAATCAAAAACCATTTATCTACTAGTCTATTTGGATGTGAAAATTTGAGTCTATCTAAAGAAGCATAAGGCTATAAAATAGGGTTACCGTTGCTGGGAATAGTATTAAAAAATGGTAAACTAACACTAATTTTATAAATCTTTTAGGCATATATATTTATTTAATATTTTAGGCGATTTCCTAAGTCGTATTATCAAAATTCTAAAATGCTGTCGAAATTGAATGAGATTTTTCGGTAACCTTATATTAAAATCTATCACATATAAAAAAACATAAAAATGATAATCAGCAAAAAAATTTAAAACTGATTAAAAGAATAGAAAGAGAGATAGGAAATATATTTTCCTACGTATCAAAGATTTTTATAGCAAGCCAAATGCTATAGGCTTAGTAGTTTCATTAAACATTTAATACACATTACTTATCGTTAATTGATGCAAATAACTCTAAAATCTTAATAGATTGAAAGAAGAGGAGCTAAAGAATCTATAAAATGAAATAAGTGAAAGTAAAAAGATAAAATATGTTTTTTTTATAAAACAAACCAGCACTGCAATATCGGCTTGAGTAGTTCCACTGATCATGTTTGGTACATAACACTTGTGGCCTGGAGCATCTAAAATAACAAATTTTTTAGTAGGGGTCTCAAAATACGCCCGCCCTACTTCTACAGTCTTACCCTTGTCCCGCTCTTCTTGATTCGTGTCAAGAGCCCATGAGAGATACCTATGGAACAAAATATGTATTTATTAATGCTAGTATATAAAATCTATATATTTATTCAATGCGAGATAAAAAAAACTAATTAGAGGCAATTATCCTGAGCATGGTATATAAGTAGATGAATAGGAGACCTGAATAACTAAGGCTGACTTGCAAACAACCCAAGGCGATTAAAATCAAAATCTATTTTTTATTTCATATTGCATATTTTATAAGTTTAAGTAAAATTATATTATATAATAAAGAGCTAAATCACCAACTAATATAATTTTCAAACATTGGACGGCAAAATAAAATAATAAATGGGTGGGCGGATGCCTTTTTTAACAGCACAGGAGGGGGGAACCCAATCCGTGTTTTGGGTCTAGGAGGACTAAAGACCTTGGCTTAAGTTTTAAATCCCACCTTTAAAATATTTATGTCAAACCTAAAGGTTATATTGAGAATTACTAAATTGTTATATGTAATATAAAAACGAATATTGTTAAATCATTTTATTTTAGCCATTTTTAAAGACGGTTACTTCAAGATTTCGAGAAAAATTATCTGTCTTAAGTTCTTTTCCAAATAATAGATTATTTAACAACACTAATAAAACAATATTAATAAACTATTAAAGGGCACATCACATATGGATGTAAAATTCATGAGCGTAAATACGATTTACCAATTCTCTCTGCTTTTTTCCTTAGCCTCCCTCTCATATTTTTCCAGTGTTCTTTTATCAATTGCTCCAGTCAAATTCCTGTTATAAATTATGTCAAAAAATAATAAATGCCAAAAAAAATTTTTGGTTATATCTAATGTATTATAATTATTCAAGTCCAGAATTATGATTATTGCAATTTTATTTTTTTAAATTATTAGCATGCACTATTTATATGATTAGGCATATTCAAAAATCAATAAGAACATAATAGTGCATTATTCATCTTCGATTCGCTAAGGCGAATAGTAAAATTTACTATTTGTACTCAAGTCGAATAATCTGTTTTTGTAATATTATAAAATATTCATATGAAAATTTATTAACAGATTCTTTTACATTTTTTTTATTGCACATATCTAGCTGTAATTTAAACAGAAAAAATTATAATAACAATAGGATAATAAAAAACATGAGCTCAAGTTATTAACGAAATTAAAATGCATATTAATTTAATTTATGTCAAGCCAATTTTTAAGGCAGAGTTTTTCTTATTGTTTTTTCTTTATAGGATATGGAATTTTTTGACGGTAAATCAGTTCTAACTACGCCTGTCACAAGCAGTCGATATATACCTTATAGGTTATTAATGTAAATGACAAATGATTACATTTTATTAAAAACACATTAATAATTATTCCGAATATTGGATCAAATTATTAGATTTATTTGTTTTATTCGAATCTAATAGGTATTAGTAATGGTTATTAGATTAATATTCGATTTAATTTTGAATAGGCCTATGTGTGAGTGTGATGTGCAGAGTTTACAGCTGCAAGCATTATGAGAACATAAAATATGTAAAAATTTCGTTTCAATAGGAATTGATAAAAATAATCATAAAAAATGTAAATACACCTTTTATCGTTTTTAATAATCAGTTATCAGATAGGGAGCGGATCGGTAAAAAATATTTTATTTTCTGATAACTAAAATTTATTTTAAAAGATAATCCAAAATATTAAATCAAAGAAGATCGATCAATAAATATATTATATTATTTTAAAACTTCAAGTGAAATGTTGTCCTAAAAATTTTTAGTAATTCCGGGCGATATTTTGATAGTTATTCAGAAAAGAAAAATAAATAATAATCCTAGACGCCTATCTTCAGAATTTTAATTAGTCTCAAGATTAATTCAAAAATTTATACCGTTGCTTGACCATTTGCGGTCGAAATTGAGTTAGGGCCGAAATATAAATCTTAAGGGTCCTCTCTACCCCTTTAAGTTGAAAAACTCTCAAAAAGTTAATTTTAAATATATTTTTTATCTAAAAATAAAAGTTATATCTATTTTTGGCCCCTTTTAATAATTATAGGGTCCTATTTTGTTTATGCAAATCATAATCATTACTTTTATGATATAATAATCAAAATTTTTTGTTTTTTAAAATATATAAAAGAAATTCAAGATAATGAAGACAAGGTAGAGTAAGTAAGCACGGTTGCTAGCTAGCCCACAATGAGTGAGGGACTACTTCAATTAATGAAAAAAAAATGAAAAATACGATATTGAATTAATTCCACAAAATCTGCCGTCATTTTAAAGACTACCCAAATCTACCATAAAATCTCCCCCGCAAATTTTAGGACTACAGCATTGACCATATTTAATATTTAACTAATTATTTAAACTCGAAAAGTTAAAATTATATTCTTTGCATCTTAAACCCCTATTATCTCAGTGACATAAAATTTAATGAGTTCAAAAATTGATTGATCTATATAAATTCATAGAGGAATTAATTGATTGTGCCAAAATGGCCCTTTTTCACCGATTTGACATGGAATTATTCATAATAGTTAAAATTTATAATGATCTTTCAGAATTATTAATTATGATGATATTTTATTTGATGTGCTTTGGATTAATTAGGAATTTTAAAAAATGTAATTCCAGTTTTTAAATAGACTTTGTTCAAAAGAAGGGTAAAAATTGGGGTTTGCATTTTCTTATATTTGAAGTTCAAGAAGTGGGACAAAATGTAAAAAATGCTAATTATTGAAAAAGCATTTGATAATTTAATTCTTAGAGAATTTTTTTATTGAATTGAGTTATTTTTCTTTGTTGAGCTTATATTATAAATTGATGAAGTGGTATAGATTTGTGAAAATTAAGGTATATTATATACAAAAGTATTTTTTTTGTGTATATAGAACTTATTGAAGGGACACTAAGCATTCTTTTTTCACTATGATTTAAGGCTGGGCTGATATTAAATATAAAATTGGAGTATAATTTACCAGTTTAAAAAAATTGGATCAGGCCAATATTTTCAAAAAAACTGATCCAACCCCATATTATAATTGTTTTTCGTGATCTTATAATAATTTCCCAACAAAAAAATATGAATAAAAGGAATAAAAATTCAATTTAATTGTATCTATAATGTTTCAGGCTGAGATATTTTTTACAAGAAAATGATTTTAAAATTAATAAACTCAACCATAAACATTGACCATATTTTAAATTAGATGATTAACATGTGAGGGAAAAAACAAAATAGACTTAATAATTCGTGATGTGCCAAATATCACCTTGGCCATACGAAATAAAAAATAAATGTTTCTTGCTTTCCCATAGTTTTCAGTAGGGTAAATAAAACCGGATTCTAATCTATTTTTAAAAATAACCTAATTAAGATTTAACTATAATAATATTATGTAAGACTAAAGATTTTTGGCAGAAAGATTTGGACCTCAATTTGGAAAATCTCGAGGCATAATAATATCTGGGCCAAAATCTTAATTAATCCATTTTTAAAAATTGATCAGAATCTAGGTTTTAAGACCTAGTTTATAGTTAGTTATTTTTTACGTAAAAATGTTGATTTTTTATGATATTGGTAGACCTGTGCGCCGCTGGCTCACGCCGGCAATTTTATTCGCCGGAACAGCCACCGATTGAGATCATCGGCGCGAGCGACGCGGTGTGTATAATTTTTAGAATGCTGTTTAATTATATTTAGATATTAAATCAGGGTTGGCATGTAGGTCAAATTCAGTCAATTGACCGGATATTTGACCGGTCAAATACTCTAAAATATTATTTGCGAATAAATAATTTGATAAATTAACTAGTATGTAGTGTTGTTAATCGGCTTAGCAGAGTCGGTTCGAACAGAGCTGACCCAAATTTTGGGTCGTTTTTTTCGACTTCGACTTAGAGTTTGGGTCGTTATTTTCGACCTCGACCAGAGTTCAAGTCGAAAAAAACGACCTCGACCTAAAATATGGGTGGTTTTTTTCGACTCCGACCCGAGTCCAAGCCGAAAAAACGACTTCGACCCTAAATATGGGTCGTTTTTTTCGACTCACATTCAAACATCGGGTCGTTTTTTACGACTCCAACTTATTTGAATTTTTTTTAAAGCAAATGGTTAAAAATAGATATTGTAAAATGTTAAATTAAAATTTCGGCGAAGATGTACCATAGGAAATTGTCATAGTCGTTATTTTTGGACTTTTTTGAATTTTTTTAAGGCAAATGGGTAAAAAAATATATTGTAAACATGTTAAATTAAAATTTCAGTGAAGCATAGGAAAGTGACAATTGTCATAATCGTCATTTTTGAACTTTTTTCAAGGCAAATGGGTAAAAATATAATTTTTAAACATGTTAAATTAAAATTTCATTGAAGATGTACCACATAGGACAGTGACAATTGTCATAATCTTTATTTTTGAACTTTTGAATTTTTTTAAGGCAAATGGGTAAAAAAATATATTGTAAACATGTTAAATTAAAATTTCAGTGAAGATGTACCATAGGAAAGTGACAATTGTCATAATCGTCATTTTTGAACTTTTTTCAATTTTTTTAATGCAAATGGGTAAAATTTCAATGAATGCACCATAGGAAAGTGACAATTGTCATAATCGTCATTTTTAAACTTTTTCAATTTTTTTTAGAAAAATGGGTAAAAATATGCAAACATGTTAAATTAAAATTTCAGTGAATATGTACCATAGGAAATTGGCAATTGTCATAATCGTCATTTTTGAACTTTTTTAATTTTTTTAAGGCAAATGGGTAAAAATAGATATTGTAAACATGTTAAATTAAAATTTCAATGAATGCACCATAGGAAAGTGACAATTGTTATAATCGTCATTTTTGAACTTTTTTCAATTTTTTAAAGGCAAATGGGTAAAAATATAATTTGTAAACATGTTAAATTAAAATTTCATTGAAGGACCATCTGGGGCTTAGAAATACCAAAAAATAGAATTAAAATGAGTTATTATGTTGGTAGGCCAAGCGATTATTGCCAGCTATACATTCTTAGTTCAGAATTAAATACGAACTTTCTGGACAGATTTGTTTAATTTCATCGCCATTTTTAAAACACGTATTGATTTTTTTTCTAATTTTAGAAATTTATTTTAGAGAGGTGTATATGATAACATTAGTTCCGAAATTCGGTAAGATTGAGCTTGAATGGGATATTTAGAATACTTTTGGATCATTTTTATTTAGAGGGGGGGGGGAGCTGGTTATAAACAACGCCTTTTTGTCCTGCCTATTCTGAAGTCAAAATATATAAAATCTTCAATTCTTTATAAAGTTTGTGTAATTGCTATAATTGGGTAATGGCTAGATACAAGCTAACTAGGCTTTATAAGTTTTAATTAAAATAAATTTTAAAAAATAATGTTTTTCTCAACATTTTCTTCAAGTTTTTAAAAGTAAATGTGTTATTTTAATTATTTTTGTTGACAAAATATTTTTATCTGAATGGGTTTTATTTTTAATTTAAACGTCAACAAATTCAAATCATCACATCCACAAAACACTAAAAAATAATAATTAATAAACTTAACCTCAAAAATAAAATAAAACGGAAATATTATTAATAATATAATGAAAAGTTAACTTTAATAAAAAATAATAATTTTTAAAACAAAAATTTCTATATATTTAAAAAATAATAATTAATAAACAACTTAAAATTTATAAATAAAAGCATGATGACTGTTGAGGATAATTATGACAAAGTAACATGCGTTTTTTAATATTTTTGAAGTTAAGTTTATTAATTATTATTTCTCAGTGTTGTGAATGTGATGATTTAAATTTTGTTGACGTTTAAATTAAAAATAAAACCCATTCAGATAAGAATATTTTGTTAATAAAAATAATTAAATAACACATTTACTTTTAAAAACTTCAAAGAAAATGTTGAGGAAAACATTAATTTTTTAAAAAAATTTATTTTAATTAAAACATATAAGATTGAAAATCTTAAAATTGTTTCAGAATATTTAAATTCAAATTCTACGACATCAATGCAACTTTTAATTAGACATTTAAAATTTTAGGAAGTGGACAGAGTGAGATTTTAGTTGAAGATAATTGGCAAACATCTAGTTCTTATATAGATAAAATAGCTCGTAAACATTCCCTTCCAAGCAACGATTATAACAACATTAGTAATCTAGAACAAGAATATCATGTTTTGCTGAGCCAGCATCACATCCCAGAAGAGGATACATTAACCTTTTGGAAGAAAAAGCGACTGGAACTTCCTAGTCTTGCTAATTTAGCTAGGAAGGTTCTTTGTAAAACCAATACACCTAGCAAAGGAATTTTTTCCATTGCTGGATTAATACTCAATGCAAAAAGGACTTCTTTATGTTCCACGAATCTTGATAAAATGCTATTTAATTTCTTCATGACAATTATAATTTTGTTAAATCTGAATTCTGATTTGCTTGCATTCCAAATTTATATTTTAATGTTATAGTAACAATCAATATAATATTACTAATATGTATTGTTTATGTGACTCTGATCTAAGTAAAATTGCAATTCCTTAGTCTATTTCTGAGAATGAGAAAATACATAAATTTAAATTGCAGTGACAGGAAATAATTTAAGAAATGAATTAAACTATGTTAACAATGTGTTAGAAAAGAGCGCCCAAATAAATTATAAAAAAATGTAATACATTGATTTATAAAAATAATTCATTAATAAATATCGCTCCGCCAGCACTGGCAATTTATTAGGCGGTGGCAAAATCGGAGCGCATCAGAACGCTGATGAAAAAATTTAAAAATACAGCCACCGCCGATTGAGACATTGGCACACAGGTCTAGATATTGGTTCAAAGATAGATGAATCTAAATATGTATTGATCATCAGCAGTTTTAGGTAAATATTAAAAAAATATCTGATTGAACAGGTGAAACTATTTATTTTTGAACCTTTAATGATTTATGTACATATATATTTATATTTTAACTTTTAATTGATTATTATTTATATAAATTAATGGTAAAATATAGCATACATCAATTGTCCCCCGATAGTTGACTTTCCTGCATCTAAATAATAATAAAAAAAATTTAATATTATATTCATAATTAGTTAACAGGCGTGTAACCAGGGAGGGGGACCCCACCCCCACCCATAGCAAGATTGAAAAATATAAAAAGGCTTAATGAATTGTCAATAAAAAGTTTTTTTTCAAATAGCTTATATCTTACACTTTTTAAACCTTAAATACTGATAGATATAAGAAAATTTTATCAACCAAAAAAAATTCTATCTAATTTATCATTAGAAAATTTCTAAAGTCTATTAAGTGTTCAAAAGATGTCCAAATTAGAATTATTTTTAAAAATGCTAATGCTACAGAAAAAAACTACAAAAAGCCTCAACAAGATGGAGCCTTAAAGCTGTTACAGCATTTTTTGGATCTAGAAGAGCGTAACCCTTGGAGAAATATCAGAATCATCTGAAACAGATATTTTATCTTAAACTGATACATTATTAGATTTAATAGGATTACCAATTTTTTCATTGAAATGTATTAATAAATTATTTATTACAACAAATTTATGCAATATTTTCTAAAAAATGGATTTGTCTCAAATAATTTTATATTACAATAGAAAAACAAGAGATAATATTGACCAGGAATTTCTCAAGATTTATGTGTTGTTGAGGTGAAAGCAAAATTATATGTTTATGAGATTCAAGCCTCGACTTTCACTGATAAACAAATCTTTTCAATATTAACATGGACTCAATTGAGGATTACTATAAAATAACCTTTTTATTCTACTTTTGGATTTAATTTTGACTCAATGATCAATTAGTTATTTATTATTTGTCTCTAGCCAATTACAAATACTCTACTTATACTTCCCTTTGATCCAAGGATATATCAAATGTTGGGTTGCTGCCTCTCTTTGAGGGCTCATTATTTCTTTATATTTTATTTTTTTTTAATATTTTTTTTATTTAAAAATAATAAATATGTGATCGCACAAATCTTAAAATTTAATATTTTTTCAAGTTATAACAATCTTAATGAAAATGGATATGATCATTATTCGGTCAATCAAATGATATATTAACCCATACTCAATGTATTGAGTGGTGAGCATCCCAAGAACTAGAAGAAAATCTTCCTCTCATTTTTATATATGTGAATATTCTTATTTTCATAATATTAAAAATATGTCAAATTTAAGTGAATTAATGAGAAGACTTTTTCATCATTAGAGAAAATAAAAACCTATATCAAAGGTACAACATCTTAAAATTGATTGAATAGACTAGCTTTAATCATGGAAATCTAATACACAGAACAAATTATTAAAAATTGGCTCAATGGCAAAGAAGATTAATTTTTCATTTATTAATGATACTTTCTAAATCATTATAAAATGTTCACTTTTATATTTTAATGTGATTTACATTCTTGGTTTATATAGCTATAATATTTTTTAGCCATATTATTCACTAATATTTTGTATTTTCCAATATTTTTTATTTATGTCCAAAAATTATCATTATTATTTGTTTAATAAATATTATATGATAATTAGTTCCAATAAATTTTATATGATGATTATTAATTTGTAATGCTTCAAATAAAATCATTTCAAAATAAATAAAACACCCCCCACCCATAGAAAATTCCTGGTTACAAGCCTGATATACACATAAATGAATAATAGCAATTAAGTAATATTATATTGTATGTTTAAATTTTTATCAAAATTAATATTATATTTTGCTTTAATTTATAAGTATGTATATTATTAAATAGAATTATTAATTAACAAAATTTGTAATGTTAATCTATAAAAAGATTTATAAAATAATTATGCTTACCAACATGTCCTATAAATACAATGTTTACATTTTCTTTATAAATTTCATCATGTAAATTGCTCTTGAGAGGTTTTTTAAAATCATTTAGTTCATCTGCTGCAAGATTTACATGTGATTCTATATAATCTCCATCAGAATGATTATCATTATTGACAGAAGCTACATTTGAATTAATTTTAATATCTGCCATATCCTCTTCAAAATGATTTATCAGATTCACTCCACCCCCACCAGCTCCATTGTCTTCTTTAAGCACACTTCTGATAATATTTTTATCTTGGTCCATACTTTCCCAATCTTAATAGTTTAATTAAGAACTATAATAATAAATATAAGCCTATACCATCAGGCGCATTTTCAATATTATTCTCTAGAATAGGTTTTCCAGCATATGCTAATAAGAGGTAAATATCGGTTTATATAATATAAACTAACTTGGAACAAATGGCTTAGCGTTAACATTTAATTTAGTCATCTTTATTGTCATTGCAACATTTTTTTCATTAAAATCTTCCATGGAAATAAGCTTGAAATATTTATAAATTGCAAAAGTGAGAAGAACACGAAGATATGTTAAAAAAGGAGCGTATGATTAATATGACTCAAACTAATATGAGATTTTTTTAAATATTTAATTTAGAAAAAAATGTCCTATAATAATATAATTTTGTAAGATCTCTATTTATGATACCTTTCAATTCTTATGAGTTAATAAGATTTATTTTATCTAATAATTATTTTATCAGTCCAAATATTCCAAGCCATTGAAATTCATTTTCAATTTGCAAATATTTTTTTCATATTTCCTAAAATACCACCACAACGAATCGGAATTTAGTTCATATATCTCTCATAATATTATAATGCATTCCAGACGCTTGCCAGTGAGCCCACCATCCTTTGAGCAAAATTATTTTAAAAAAATATTATAGAGCTCAGGCGCGTAGCCATAGAAAAGAATCTTTGGAAAAATGTAAAAGAGCTTTATGAATTGTGAAGTTCAAAGTATATCTAAATATTAGCAAAAAGTTAAAATAATTAAAATACTTATTTCTTGTATATCAGTGGTGAACAGTAGCCTCACTAGGGGAGATGGGCGCAGGGGCTCGAGCTCCATGAAAAATTTGAAGATCCACTCAAAATTTTGAATATTTTTTTCACTAAAAAAATTGTTAGCTTAAAAAAAAATAATTTTTAAAATCATTTTTAAATTTTTTTTGATAATCCTGAAATTGTATGTAAAGGCTATTAGCTACACCCATGGTGACGAAACGTCCATGGAAGCAAACCTTTTTTCTTACAAAATTCAGATTAATATAATCTTAATACTATGTTAAAAAAAACTAATCCCGCTTTGTTAAAAAATTAATAAAGTTTTTATAACGTCAAAAAGATGATTTAAAAAAAAACATCAAATAAATAAATTCAATTTCAAAATATAATTATATTTCGTTTCATAATAGATGACCCGATTAATTTTTTTATATATTTCTTTTTCGTTATTAACTTAATGCTAAAATTGATTTTTCATTTATATAAATTATTAAATTGATTTTTCGTTTATGTAAATTATTAAATTGATTTTTTGTTTATGTAAATTCTTAAATTGAATTTTTATTTATATAAATTGATTTTTTACGAGCTAGAATGTCATGGATTTTTAATATTTACCTATTTGATGAAAGTTTTAAAAAGTATTTTTAATTATACAAATATGTCCTAACTTTGGCTCCAACAAAGCAAGTGCAGAAATCGGCCTTTCATCTTTAAAAGAATCATTTCTAATTTCAGAAACAGGATGAGTCAAAATCAATTATTGAGTCCTTCTTTGATTTCGATTGAAAAACAATTATTAAAAAATTTAAATTTCATCAATAACTTTTATAATTCAGTAATTAATCACTTTACTTTACTCAAAAACGAATTCCACTTATTTATAAATCTTAATTATTTTTTTTGGTTTGACAATAAATAATTTTAGATATCTACCCTAGTAAAAAACTTGACGCTTCGTCACTGTTATATTTTAATATATTATCTCATGAAAATTTAAAGTTTATTTTCTTACATTTTTTAATCTTTGAACACTGATGGATATAAGGAAATTTTATCAACCTAAAAAATCTATTTAATTTATTTCTATTAATATACATCAAGCTGTTGTAGCATTTTTTTGGATAGAAGACCTTATTTTGTATACCCTTGGAGAAATATTAAAATAACCTGAAACACATATTTCATCTAAAGCTGATACATAATTAGATTTAATAAGACTGCCGATATTTTTAATTGGAATGTATTAATTAAGTATTTATTAAACAATTATACTCAATATTTTACAAAAAAATAGATTTAGCTGTGTGAGAATCGCGGATAATAATATATTACAACTTAAACCAAGAAATTTCTCGAGATATGTAATTGTTGAGAGAAAGCGAAATTATATGAGTTCGAGATTCACAAGTCTCGATTTTTATTGACAAATGTGGACTCAATTGAGAATTACTATAAAATAACCATTTTTATTCTACTTTTAAATTTAATTTTGACTCAATGATCGATTTGTGATTTATCATTTGTCTCTACCCAATTACAAATACTCTATAACTCATCAGAGGATATATCAAATTTTGATATTAAAAAATTAAATATTTACCTAAATTTTATTCATAGGAAATAAATGTATTTGAAGTCTAATTAATTTAAAAATTTAAGTGGTATGAAGTATTTATTTTTGTAGATAATCCTCAAAGAAATACAGTGGAAGAATTGCATACTTTAAAATGTATTTTATAAGTTTTACAAATATTAAAATTACTATATATTTTGGCAATGATACCAATTAGTACAAGCACAGATAGAGAATAAAAACCTATATCAAATGCAGAGTTGTACATTTGCTCAAAATAAAATCATAAAATTTGAAGATCTTTTATTTTTTAAAAATTTTGTGTAACGATCTTCAAAGATCTTCATGATATTTATTTTTTTACCCCTTTATTAAAAGCCCAGATGTTTTTCAATTTTATTAATATAACATTTCTTTTATGTTTTATACATCTCCTCCTGCCTTGATGAAAATTGAAAAACATCTGGGCTTTTAATAAAGGGGTAAAAAAATAAATATCATGAAGATTTTTGAAGATCGTTACACAAAATTTTTAAAAAATAAAAGATCTTCAAATTTTACCATCTTCAAAGATCTTGCTCAAATTTTTGAGCTAGATCTCGCTCAAAAATCTTCAAAGAAGATCTTTTGTACGATCAAATGTACATCTTAAAAATAATTGAATCGAGATCTTATCCACAACACAGATTAAAAAATTGGAGCAATTGCAAAGAAGATTAAATTTTCATTTATGAATGAATATTGATTAACTTTTTTAATTATTATAAAATATTTAATTTAATATTTATTGTGATTTACATAACGGTTTATATAGCTATAATATTTTTTAAACATATTATAACATTCTTAATATTTTCAATTTTCCAATCTTTTATTATTTGTGTTTAAAATTATCATATATCCAAATGTGAAATATTCTAATAGATTTTATATTACTAATAGATTTTATATTAAGATTTTATCTTAGTTCTAATAAATTTTTAATGCTCCATAATTAAAAAAATTTACACCCCCCCCCTTCTCCTGTAGATAATTCCTGAGTAGGCGGTTGATACATTCCTCAAGCTTATTAGATATTATTAGTTTTTATAACGTTAAAGAGTATCTATATTATAATTTTCCGAGTCCTCACTACACCATGTCATCGCTACGTCATGTCATAGGTACGTATTTATTTATTTTTTTTAAACGTAAATATTATTTTTTTATAACTGGGAAAAAGAGTATATATTATTTTATTTAAAGTAAATAAATTTTTAAAAAATGATAAAATTACATTTTAAATTACTGTTTTAGTTTTACCAATATCTGAAGATAATCCCACAATTCCTAGAAAGTTGATCCTAATATTGGCTCCTACAGGTTCAGTGTATTAGAAAACAGATCTTAACTTCTTAATAGCTGAACAAATTTTTGTCAATCTATTATTGCCAAACAAAGAAAGAGATGGCCTTTAATGAGCAAAATAAATATTCCAAAAATCACGAAGTTCAAAATTCTACCAACAATAAGTTAGTAAAATAAAATATATATTAAAAATGCATATATGTTTATTTATTTTTATAATTTTCTAAGCATGTTTTACTTATACTTTCTTACATTTTATATTTTACCTGTTTTAGTTTTACGAATATCTGATGATATTCCAACAATTGCTGGAGAGTTGAACCTAATACTTATACTTTCTTACATTTCAGATTACATCTGTTTTAGCTTTACCAATATCTGATGATATTCCCATTATTGCTAGAGAGTTGAACCTAATATTGGCTCCTCTGGAAGGTTCAATGCATTATTAATATTTTTATTTTGTTTTTATTTTAGAAAACAGGCCTTGTCTTAACCCCTCTTAATGATTGTATAAATTTTGATTAATCAGTCATTGCCAAAAAAGAAAGAGATGGCAGGTTAATTATCCTTCCTTATTAATTTACTTTCCATATTCCGTTTTCCTTCTATTTTCCTTTTTCTTTCCCTTTACCTCTTTTTATTTCCCTTTTATCTTTTCCTTTACATATTTCTTTCTTTTTTTCTATTCCCTTTTTCTTTACCTTACCATTTTTCTTTTTCTTCTCCTTTTGCTTTTCGCCCTTTCTTTCCCTCTTTCTTTACCTATCTTTTCATTACCATTTTTCTTTTCCTTTTTTTATCCCCTTTTCTTTTCCTTTCTCCTCTTCCCTTTTAATTTCTTTTCCATATTCCTTATTTCACTTTTCCTTACCCTTCCCCTTTTAATTTCTCTTATTCTTCATCTTTCTTCTTTCCCTTTCATTACCCTTTTTATTTTCTTTTCTCTTCCTTTCCCCTTTTCTTACCCTTTCCCCTTTTCTTACCCTTTCCCCTTTTCTTACCCTTTCCCCTCTTCCCTTTTTAATTTCCTTTTCATAATCATTTCTCTTTTCCTTTTCCTTTTAATTTCTCTTTTCCTTTTAATTTCTCATTTTCTTCCTATTTTTTTTTCATTACATTTCCTTTCTTTTCCCTTTTCATTTCCTTTCTTTTCCCTTCCCCTCTCCATTTCCTTACTTTCCCCTTTTCTCTTCTCTTTTATTACCTCCCCTTTTCTTCTATTTTCCTTTCCCTTTTAATTTCTCCTATTACCTTCCTCTTTCTGTTCTTCTCTAATCCTTTCCCTTTCATTACCATTATTATTTTTATTTCCCCTTTTTCCCTTCTTAATTTCCTTTCCACATTCCTTTTTCTTTTTCTTTCTCTTTTCCTTCCTCTCTTTTAATTTCTCTTATTAACTTCCCCTTTCTTCTCTTTTCCTTTCCCTTCTTTCTTTTTTTCTTCTTTTCCATTAAAATTTATCTTATTAACTTCCTCTTTCTTCCCACTTCCTTTCCCTTTAATTGCCATTTTTCTTTTCCTTTTTTCCCTTTCCCCTTCTTTCCATTTTCCCTACTACCCTTTTAATTTCCTTTCTACATTCCTTTTTCTTTCTCTTTTCCTTCCTTT